AAAGAAAAGAAAAAGAAAAAGAGAAGGAAAAAAAAAAAAGCTCAGTGGTACAAGTGCCTGCCTGGCAAGTACAAGGTCCTGAGTTTGACTGTTGATACCACGAAAAAAAAAAAAAAAGGAAAAGAAAAAAAGGCTTCCCAGCAGAGGGAAGCTTGAGCCAGATTCAATTTAGCAAGTCAAGACAACTAGGAGGTACACATTAACAAGATGTACATCATGGACAAAGGCTTTCATATGAGAACTGAAAAACTTACTTGCGAAAATGAGCAGACTGCTTGAGATTAAGTCCAAGTAGGAGAAATGTGAAAGTAAGAAGGCTAGGAAGATAGAAGAAAGTAAAAAGGCTAAGGTGGGAATAAACTGCAAGATCTCAAATGCCAAGTTGAGGAATTTAGATTTCATTCTGTAAATGACTAAGAACTATCAAAAACTTGAGCAGAAAATCTGACAAGGTTGAAATAGTGTTGGAAGAAACTGAATGGAACATCATCGTGCAAGTAAAGTGGGGTGCAAGTAAGGAATAAGAGCAGAGGCAAATACCTGCAATTCAAACTTGTTAAGTACAGATACGTGAATTAGACATAAATTAAATTTTACAAAGGCATTCTCTCAACCCAGTCTAAATTAGTACACTTGCAAATAAATCTGAATTAAATGTCAGTGAACAAAATTCACAAGCCAGAAGCAGTTTAGTGCTCACAAGTTTGTATTTTTAGGTCTGATAAAGATTCTTAAATATTTTCTATGAGACTGATGTGCTACCCACTGGGCTAAAAGGGCCACACTTGTATATTTTCTAAATACACAGACAAAACAGTTTTGCAAGTTTACATACATGTCTTTGGACACTTATATAGGTGAATTACTTTTTTTTGGTAAATTACATTTTAAAAAATTGGGTCTTTGTAAAAGATCCTCCCAGAGAGCTTTTACAAACAGCGGCAGAAAAAAAGTGTTCTTTTATGTTTACAGTGCTTAAAATGCTGATTATCCCATTTCATAATGGCCTCAACCATCCCTCTCCTTAGCCCAAAATTCTGTTCTTAACTGATGTCATAAAATTCCAGGCTAGAAAACATCTTTTAAGGTGTGCTTTTCCCTAACGCGTTTTGAACTACTAGGAAATGTCTAAAACTTCAGTTGAAAGCAGGGATACAGCAGGAAAAACAAAACCGCTTTCTATTTTACTTGGTACCAGGAATAGAACTCATGACCTTATGCTTGCCAGGCAGGCACTGTGCTGCTGAACTATGTCCTTGGTCCCTCCACTTCCCATTTTAAATCCTAATATGATTGTACGAAAATGCCTGTTTGTTAGTTCCAAGAGTGTTTAATTATGTACCATATAAGTTTAAGGATCTGGGTGACAGAATGGCACAAAAGCTGGGGTTCATATCTAGTCCTGTAGTTTTAAAAAATCAACATTTTAAAAATGAAAATGCCACCGGGCATAGTGGCATACGCCTATAATCCAAGCATTTAGGAGGCTGAGGCATGAGGACCATTGCAAGTTCAAGACCAGCCTGGGCTACAAAGTGAGCTAAGGCCAGCCTGAACTGCATAGCAAGACCTTGTCTCAGACAAAACAAACACAAAAACAAAACCCCGCCCAAACCCACTAATATCATTTGCTACACTGGGGTTATGTGTTTTACTGAAATCCAAATGATAAAACAATTGCTTTTCAAGAGGAAAGAGTAGTAAGGATGTTTATTTGGGGGAAGGACACACAAAATTCCTAACAGAGCTATTTTACAGGTTTAATATAAATCTTCATAGACAGACTCCTTTAATGAGCTGCAATTCTACAAAAAAGAAAGTAATGAGGCAGAAAGAGAGCCTCCTAGAAAGCATGGGCTTGGAAACAGACCTGCCCAAATCACAGCTCCATTTCAACTGCATGAAATTAGACAAGAGTCTCAATCTCTGAGACTCATCTTTCCTCATCCATAAAATGGAGACAACAGCACCTACCGCAGAGGGGTAAAATACGCAATGCTCTCATAACGGCAAGCATCGGTAGCTTTTGGAAAATGAATCTAAAGCTTTCAAGCTGTTCAGAAAATCATAAAAAATAATGCTTTTGAAGGTTTAAATTTTAACATTTAAAAAACCCTGGTTTTTTTCATCAGATTTCCCCCACAATACACTATTCTAGTCATCTTTAGGCCTTATTACTATATTGTATTAACACAATTTCAAATCCAAATCCTTTGACTTCCTATTTTCTTTCTCCTTTACAACACCTTTTCTCCTCTTTCTCTTGGTTCACATGTTAATAAACAACTAAGATATATGATAGAGGATGTACCCGTGTTCCAAGAACTTTCCCATCGATCAACTCATTCAGCTCCCTCTTCTCCACCAGAATGGCTCCATTTACTTCAGCTAGTGTCCTCCCCGACCTTTACCGCTAATTTCTACAAATCCTTCAGAACTCAGCTCAATCCATGCTTCCTTACCGTTCCCCTATTACCTCCTCTACAGGCATCACCTGTGAGCTATTACCAGCCCCATTCTTCACTTGTTTAGTTTGGGGCAGAATCCAGGACTTCATGCTAAGCACCTGCTCCACCACTGAGCTACACCCCAGCTACGGTCCCATTTAGACGAACTCTGAGGTTCAGAGTCACAAATTCCCCAATTTCCTCTAGGTTAAAGGGCCAGTAAATGACAGCGAACTGAAATCCAAGTCTGTCCAGCTGCAAACTCCAAGATTCCATGTTTGTCTGTTTGTTTGAACTACATCCCGGCTGGAATCTGGGCACGGGGAGAAAGCAAATAGGGCAGCCAGTACATTTGCTAAGATCAGGTTAAAACTAGAGCTGAGTGGCTGTGAAGTCCCCGTGAGCACAAATTCCTTACCAAGAGGCTCAGGAAGCGCCAGTGAGGCACCAAAGCAAGACAAACACGAACTCGTAAAAAACGAGGCGGCCGGTGACGCCGACGAGGGCGTCAGCGCCGAGCACCCGCCGAGCTTCCCAAACTCGCTGGTAAACTCCGCGGGTGTCTGCCCACCTGCACCGAGCTACGAACACGAAATGCGGTCCACAGAGATTTCCCAGAAGTAGGAGCTGAACCTTGACAGTCGGGGAGGCATTTACGGGGCGGGGGGCAGGGGAGGCAGGGCGCAGTGGCACACGCCAGCAATCAGCTCTCTGGGGGACCGAGGCAGGAAGATTCCAAGTTCGAGCCCAGCCCGGGCAACTTTGCGGGCCCGTCTCAAAATTAAATACAAAAAAGGGCTGGCGATGTAGCTCAATCCCCAAGACCAAAAATAAAAAATAAAAAGGGAGGGTCAGAGAGTCGCACTGCCCGGGAAGAGAAAACTGCAAAACCTAAGGCGCGCGGCTAAGTGACGCGACCTCCCGGAGCACAGAACATACCAGAACGCCTCCTCAGAAGGGGAGCTTCTGGTCCTCAGAGACCGCTCCGGGGCCTTGTCGCAGCCAGAGCAAGGCGCGAAGTCCCTCTACACAACCACCTCAGCCACTTTAGCCACCTCTAACGCCTGCACCGCGCCGCCGCCGCCGCTTTCCGAAAAGCCCGCTCGACTTCACGCTGTCGCACTTCCGTCACCCAGGGCAACAGGTCCCGCCTCCGCGGCCAATTTCCGCGGTCCTTGGTGGGGCGTACCATTAAACCTGAGGGGGTGGGACCTTCCCGAGTTCGGAGTTCCCACTCAGTCTGCGGAGGCCGGGCCTTTTCTCTCTCCTCCCCCCGACTTTTTTTTTCTGCACTGGGTTTTGAATTTTGAGCCTTCACATTATGCTACATCCCCAGTCCTTTTTTAATTTTTTTTTTTTTTTTTTGTCTTCAGGCTGTCCTTGAGCCCACTTTGTAACTCAGGCTAGTCTCAAACTCACAGCGATCCTCCTACCTCAGCCTCCCGAGTGCTGGGATTACAGGGGGTGCACCACCACGCCCGCCTTCCACCCTTTTTGATTTTTTAAAAAAAATTGTATTGAAATAGGATCCCACTAAATTGCCCAGGCTGCCCTCGAACTGGAAACCCTCCTGCCTCAGGCTCCCAGAGTGCTGGGATTATAGGTGTGTGCTACCACACCTGACCATAGGTCCATTTTATTGATCTGTTTTTACTATCGTTTTGTTTGTGTGTTTCAAGCTCATTCCCCCCCCCCCGAGATTGTTAAACCAATTTAATTTGAAAATCTTCTCTGAACAAGCCTATATACAGGATTTGTCCTTTGACTCCTGCCTTCATTCCTTGCTCCTGCTCAATCCCCATGGCCACAATGTAGAATTATTTATTTACTTATTTATTTGGTACTGGGAGTGGAACCCAGGGGCTTCTCACTGAGCTACATCCCCAGCGCTTTTTTATTTTTTATTTTGAGACGGGGTCTTACTAAATCACTAAATTGCCCAGGCTGGCCTCGAACTTGCCATCCTCCTGCCTCAATTTAACCAGAGTGCTCCCGCACACACAGCTGGGCAGACCCTTCTGGAGGCTGGCGGCTGGCCTGGCCAGACTCCTTTCCCGCTGGGGCGGGTACTCATCGCCGTGTGGTTATAAGGCCGAGAACAGAGTCTTATTTCTCTCCTCGCTTCTCCAAGCAGTGGCTGCGCCCTTACATTCCTTAAGGCCCTCACGAGCCCAGGACGCTAACTACTCTTCCTGCTCCTCAAAGAACAGAGTCTGAGGTGACCAGACTCTTGCCATGTGGTGCTGCTTCCCGGAAGAGCGGGGCAATGTCGCCTTTCCCAGGAGCCACGGGGCAGATGGGACTTCCCGGGCGGCACAGCGGAAGCAATCCTGGGTGCTGAATGCTGAGCCGGTTCAGGATGACCCAGACTTCATTCCTAACCAGCTTGTGGCTTTGGCAGGTCCCTCCCTACGCTTACAGTTTGCGGTGCCAGGAGAAAGCGATCCCCCTCTGCGCACACCTGGAAGGCTGGGGTGAGATAATGCTGGCCAGAGGACAGCCACCGTGCAGTGCGGAACGAGGCGCGCCAAGGCGAGTTCCCTTCCCTTCCACCTGTTGTTCCGGGACTTGGGATGGGAGGGGGCGGGAGAAGGGCGGTGAGCCGTGATCAGGGCCGCAGAAAGCTCTTGGTCCAGCACAGTTCTGTCTGGGACAGGCTGTTGACCTGAGGGTCTGCCTAAGGAAGGAATGTGTGAGAAGAGATGGAGCCCATCCTCTGGCACTGAGTGCTTTTGCAAATTGTATCTTAATAGTGATCACCTCATTAAAATTAAACCTTTGTTGTTGTTGTTGTTTTGATTTTTATTTTACGTATTTATTTACTTGGGGTTTTTTTGAGATTGGGTTTCTCTATGCAGTTCAGGCTGGCCTTGAACTCACTTTGTAGCCCAGGCTGGCCTCACACTTGCAACAATTCTCCAGCCTTGGCCTCCTGAATGCTGGTATTACAGGCATGTGCCACCATGCCGGGCTCAATTAGACCTTTTTAAATAATTAAATTAAAATGAAAAAGAAATGAGATCGATAGGACAGGTCCCAATCTGGTCCAGATTCTGATATGGAGGGGTGGAGAGAGAGTGCTGGCTGTTTTTTAACAAGCTTCCCGGATGTGTTGTGATGCCTGCTGGTCACCAGGCCACACTTTCAATAATAACCAGGTTCAGACCAGCACCATCTGTGAGAATTATGATTTGAGGGACACAGGTAATTAAAGTTTTTAAAAACATTGACAAGTGAAAGTAATTCTAATATCTTGTTAACCCAATAGTCCAAACATGATCACTGGAAAAACTTATACCATAAAAAAGTTGTTAAAGAGAGACTAGGGGTCTGCTCAGTGGTAGAGCACTTGCCTAGCAAGTGTGTCAAGGCCAGGGTTCTGTCCCCAGCAATACAAAAAAATATTAATAAGATGTTTTACATCTTTCCTTTGCACTAAGTCTTCAAAATCCAGCCAGGCCTGGTAGTACATGCTTGTAATCCACAAAGTCCTGTCACTCAGGACGCTGAGGCTCTTGCTACGTGGTAAGTTCAGGCCTGTGCTACGTGGTAAGTTCAAGGCCAGCCTGAACTACATAGTGAGACCCTGTCTCAAAACTAAACAAAACTCCACTAAGGTTTTTTATGTGTACGGCACATCTCATGTTAGACTTTAAATTTTTTTGAGAAATAATTCATCACAAAATTTACACTTGAAAAAGTTATGTGTGTAAATTGTTCCAAATCTACTTAAAAAGTTTTCCAAAAACTGGGCCTCTTATGAGTTTTTAAATTTAAATTACTTAAAAATTAAGTTAAAATAGCCAGATGTGGTGGTGCATGCCTGTAATCCCAGCACTTAGGAGGCTGAAGAAGGAGGATCGCTGCAAATTCAAGGCCTGCCTACACTACAAAGTGAGACCCTGTTTCAAAAAAAACAAAAAAGAAAAATAAAAAATACATTTTTCAAGGCCAGCCTGAACTACATAGCAAGGCTCTGTCTCAAAAAAACAAAGTAAATAATATCTCTTAATTAAAAAAAGAAAAAGTAAAATTTTAGTTCTTCAACTGGGCATCGTGGCCTACACTGTAATTCCAGTATTCTGTGAGGCTGAAGCAGGAGGATCACAAGTTTGAGCCCAGCCTTGGTAATGTAACGACTTAGCAAGGTCTTGTCTCAAAATAAAACAGAGCTAGAGATGCAGCTCAGTGTAAAGGCTACAGGTTCAATCCTCAGTAATTCAGTGGCTCAGTCCATCGATCAAACGTTTCAGTTCTTGGGTCACATTAGCCCATTTCCAGTGCAAAAAAGCTATGTGTGGCTAATGGCTGACCCTGTATAGGTTACAGCACAGAAGTAGGCTACTAGCAATCAGGATGATGGAAATGAGGGATCCCCAGCTCCAGAGAGAACCTGGAAAGGTATCAACCCAAGAACCAGACATCAGCCAAACCAGGAGCCCAGGGAAGAAAGTGTTGGAAGCAAAGAGCTTGGGGTAACTCAGGTGCACCCAAAGATCTAAGCACCAGGCTTTGAAGCCTGCTCTAGAGCAAGGGGCTAAGGCACACAGGCGAGGCAAGGGTTGGTTCCTGGTGGCTCCTTCAGGACAGTCATAACCCCAGGGTGTCTGCAGAGATCCCACACCTATCAAGGTGGGAACAGGCAGAAAAGCAAGAACCATGTCTGGGGAAATTGCGGCTGGGGCTGTAGCTTGGGGGTAGAGCACTTGCCTGGGATGTATGAGGCCCTGGGTTCCATCCCCAGCATCACCAAACAAAAACCCTCTGGGGAAAATCAGGAAGCATTTCTGAAACTGGTTCCAGAGAATACCCCACGCACAGAGCCTGCCCCTGCCCTGGGCACCTCTGGGAGGCAAACCTGGACCAAGAGTGGCATTACAGGAGAACTTTCCATTTCCTCCTCTAATACCAAAGCAGAGGCTAGGAAGCCACCATCTGCTGAGGGGTTGCAGAGCGGCTTCTTGCTGTTCAGAGGGCTGGATACTAATATTCCCTCCACTGAGATGCCTCCTGATTCTGCATTTGTAGTAACTGCCGACATGCCAGGCCGCTAAGAGCTTGCAGTAAGCACTTTGCTGCCATCTCATACTCCCTAACACGGTGAGCATGGTCCTCTAACAGTCCCCACTTCTCAGACAAGGAAGCATAACCATGGCGGGGTGCAGCAACTTCTCCCAGTCAGAAGGGGCTGGAGTTAGGATTGAAAGGTGGGCAGGAGCTGGGAGTGTAGCTCAGTGGTAGAGCACTTGCTGAGCATGTGTGAGGTCCTGTAATGGATCTCTAGCAAAACACACATACACACTCACAAAGGGTAAACAGTCTGCTTCCTGAGCCTGACCTTACCCTCACTGCACCACCCAGCATGGGCTGCGTTTCCTCACTGGCCCCACACAACATGGCCCTGGGAGAGGACAGGGCACAGCCCTGGATTCAGCAGAGCTGTTGTTGCACCTGGGGCGACGCATACAGTTTCCCTTCGCCTGTCGGCAACTGTCGCCCCGAGTGGGAGCCCCTGGGAGCTTGAGGAGCAGGAGGGCAGGGAAGAGGGATGGAGCTGGCCTAGATTCCAGCTTCCACATGGCTGAGCAGACTGAGCAGGAGCGCACAAAGGAGGGCTTTGACAGCGTCTCCTACCAGACTGGCCTCTCCCCTCTCCCCCTTCCCCCCCCCCCCTGCACTGCACTCACCCATTCTGGGCCTCCGGGGAGCCCGGCTTAATGGGAAACTGGGCAATGAGAAGTTCCTTGTGACACACTAATCCCAACCTGCTGACTGGACATGCCCCCGGCCGAGGGCACCACCAGAGCTCCAGGTCGGTGCAGGTACCAGGTAACCCCAAGGAGGAACTGCTGACCTGGCAGGTAAGAGGGCCCCAGGTGAGACTGGGGAGTTGGGGAGCAGGGGGAGCCCACATCCTAGACTGCTGTACAACTGAACCGCTGGGTGCCATGCTCCAGTGTCAGGTTCCACTTGATGACAGCCATGCAGCTCCGCAGGCAGAATTCCTGGTAAAATGCAAATTTCATGAGGCAGGTCACAAGTCTGAGCCCAGCCTGGGTCACTTAGGGAGATCCTGTGTCAAAATACACTTTTTTGAAAAGGCTGGGTAGGGGGCTGGGGATCTAGCTCAGCAGCACGAGTGCCTGCCTGGCAAGTGCAAGGTCCTGAGTTCGATTCTTGGCACCAAAAAAAAAAACATTAAAAAGCCTGGGGATGTAGCCCAGTGGGAAGGTCCTGGGTTCAATCCTCAGTACTGAGGAAAAAAAAAATTTCAGATGAACAACAAATCCTTTTTTAGTCTAAGTGTGTCCCAAATAATGATAATAAATTACTGTGCTTTATCTGGCAACCGTAGATGGCAAGGAACAGGAACACAGAGAGCGGGGCAGGTATTTTTTTAATGCCGATAATTCCTCCTCCTAGTTCCTTGGGATGGTTCCATCAGCCTATTTCCGTTTCCAGAAAAACCTAAGTGGTAGCCAGCAGCTTTTCATCCTGCCTCTATGTCTGCATATTTCGATGGCTTACATCTGGTTCCAGTGTGATTCCAGCCTCTAGAACTTTCCTGCCCTTGCTGGGACTGCACAGTGGGAGGAGTTGGAGGTGGGGGACCCTCAGATACCCCCCAAGATCCTCCAGGTCTCTGTGAAAGTTAGGCTGACACTCAGTGTGATGCTAAGACGGGGAAGAAGACGGTTCTAGAGCACAGATGCCTAGCACAGAGTCATGCTCTAGAACCGTCTTCTTCCGTCTTCTTCCCCGTCTTAGCACTGGTAGTACTGTTATTATCCTCAACTTACAGGTGAGGAGACTGAGGCCCAGAAAGGTTAACTAGCTTGTCTCAGGACAATGTATGACAAAGCCTGATTCGGACCTAGGTCTTCCTGACTGGCAAGGTTTCTGTGTCACTTCAGCTCTCCTAGGGAGTTTACCGGGGGATGTCTTGGCTCTAGGTATCAAAACAGACTTAGTGGGGGCTGGGGATTTAGTTCAGTGGCACAGCACCTGCCTGGCAAGTGTGAGGTCGTGAGTTTGATTCCCTTTACCGGAAAAAAAACCAAAAAAACCAAAACAAAAAACAAAAAAAAAACCAGCCTAAGTCCTACACAGATGAAAGGTTTCAGTCAAGCTTTGCCACTGGGGCCTAGCCAGAGGTAGGAGCAGGATGGCGAAGGGTCCTTGAAGGGAGGCACTAGGGACATTTAGGCAGGGGACAGAAGAGCCACCTCCAAAACTGTCCAGTGAGAAGAAGGCTGTAGGCCATGGGTGGGATTTGATCTGCTGGCTGAGCACTGCTTGTGTGAATGCGGTTTAATTATGTTTCATAACCTTTCCATCTTAACAGGGGCAACCAAGACACAGGTGAAATCACACTGCCTGCAACCTGAAGAAACAGAATTGGAACTCAGGTCCTGCTTCTGTTCTGTCCTTGGCTGGCTTCTCTTAGAGCAGGCAGGAAGGTTTGAGTCCTCACTTCTGGCTATTTTGGGTTGTGTTACCTCGTACAAGTTATTTATTTTCTGGGCTTGTTTCCTCCTATGTAAAATGGGAACAATAATGGTAAGTCTAGCTGTGAGGTAATGAGTTGGGAAATACTTAGGGCGTCAAAAGTACTGGATGCACACCCAGGGTGAGGATCGGAGAGAAGGGACACACTGAGGAAAAGCCTCGGGCTGGGGCAGATGGGCCACAGAAGCGAGGAGGTACACCTTATCCTGCGGTGATCCCCTCACTGAGAATGGAGCGCAGTTCTGGTGTTTTCCTGGCTGAACCTACTTGTCTACACGGCAAGGTCTGAGATATTTGTACAGTGCCCCTTCTCAAAGCAGTGTGGCCCAAGATCATCTCCAAAGACACCCTGGGTGTTCTGACTTGCCATTTCTTAGGGCTGTCTGGGACCTTCAGCGTCCCAGGAGGTGGGGCCCATGCACCTACAATTTTTTTTTTGTGCCAGGAATCAAACTCAGGACCTTGTGCTTGCCAGGCAGGCACTGTGCCACTCAGCTAAATCCCCAGCCTGCACCTAACATATTTCTAACATATGCCTTCAGAGGATCTGAGCACAGGGACTGTTTGAGACCCACTCTTCTGAGACAGTCACAGGACAGTTCCTCTAACACCAGCACACCTCTGATTTCCTCTCATAGGGCTAGACCTGCTAGAGTCCAGAACAAAGGAAGCAGCAGGCCCTTTCTTCCCCGAGGGCTGTGTCCTCAGAGGCAATATGTCAGAGGGGGTGAGTACCACGGCTCAGCAGCCCCATTGGCCCAGATCGCTCAGGCTGATGGGATTGGGAGCTGCTCTTGCTTCTTCCTGACTCCTGTCTGCTCAGGTGGGCACATTTCGCATGGTCCCCGAAGAGGAGCAGGAGCTCCGGGCGCAGCTAGAGAAGCTCACAACCAAAGACCATGGGCCTGTGTTTGGCCTGTGCAGCCAGCTGCCGCGCCACACCTTGCAGAAGGTGAGGTAGCCGGGGCTCAGGGAGGGGCGGTCTAGGGAGGGAACACAGGGGTGGAGGGGGGGTAACACCATGCCAGCAGCACCCTTTCTCCTGTAGAAAGGCCAAGCCCCCCTCTCCAGCTCGTGCTGGAGAGCTGGACTGGCCTATTTAGGGCCATCCTGGAGGTCAGGGCTAGGGCAGCAGCTGGGCTGAGCAGCACGCAGTCCTGCCTAACCCAAGACTGCCGCCTGAAGCCTGCGGACCAGGGATTGTCCTAGCCTCACCTGTGAGAAGCACTCATTTGGAAGTAGCTTAGCTGGACAAGGAACCAACACTGCCCCCACTGGATAGGCAAGAGGCCCGAGTTCTAGCACCAGAGCTGCTGCCAGCTTGCTGTGCAGCTTGAGCAAATGGGCTCCCTCTCTGGGTCTTGCCTTCCGCACCTATGAAAGCCGTTCGCTGGCCTCGTTTAGAGGTGATCAGACTGTGCCCTGGGGAAGGTGGCAGGCTGTCTAAGGGCTGCTGGGGAGACCTGGAAGTGGCGGAGCTGAGCCTGGACTCCTAGCTCACATCTGTGGGCACCTCAAGGGAAGTGCCATCAGGGGCCCCACCTTGGTGCCTATCTTTTCTCTTTCCCTTCCCCCAAGGAGAGCTCTACCAGGGCCTGTGGAGCTCTGGATGCAGCCAAGGGAGGGTGCTGAGGCTCTCTGGGAGGAGGTTACCTTTCGTTGGGGACCTTCATTCTGGGAAAGCTCAGAATAAAGCCCAGAGACAGCTAAAGGACAAGAAGGAGCCTGACTAGAGTCCTAGCCCCACCCTTTTCTATCTGGGCGACCTTGGGCAAGAATATTTCACCTCTAGGAGCCTCAGTCTGCTCCCCTGAGACATGGCGACAAGAATGCCAACTATGATAGGTCGTAGGAAATGCATTGACAGATTCAGCAGGTGCTTTAAGGACGCAGGGGGCGTGGACAGTTATAGTTAGAAACAGGCTGTTGGCAGTAGGTCCCCTGCAGACAGATGCAGGACACAGTTTCACCTCACTTTCTCCAACACGACAATCTGGGTGCAGCCAGCACAGACGCCTCCCCTGTAGGCCAGAGAACAAGAGGCCCCGCAGCTATGTCTGCACCCTCTCGGTGAGCCAACTCTGGTAGGAGCCTGTCGCCTCTAAGGGGTGGTGAACACTGTGGGAATGCTGCTTCCAAGAGCCATCCAGAGGACAGGCAGGCTTGGAAAAACGTGATGGTGTGTCCTCGTCTACCTGATTCACCAGAGCTGCCACCACGTGACTTCTAGCTTTCCCCCCGAAGTCAAAGTGACCAAGAAAGGTAAATGTTTTCAATTGATTCAGGACGTCAGGGCAGCCATGTGCAACTAAAGAACCTCAGGAAAGAGGACTTCCAGAACTGCTTCAGAAAGTGGCAAGAATGATAGGATAAGTGTGTTTGAAGCAAGGAGGAGCACTTTGAGGGAGGATTCCTAATGATTGTCTTTTACCATAATACATTTTTATTTAAATTGAAACATACTGTACTGTCTGATCATATCTGCTACATCCTGCTTCTCACCGGCACCACCTGCAACTCCATGCCCATGCCACCTTGTTCCAGGCCAAGGACGAGCTGAACGAGAGGGAGGAGACTCGGGAGGAGGTGGTGCGGGAGCTGCAGGAGCTGGTGCAGACACAGGCAGCGTCCGGGGAGGAGCTGGCCTTGGCGGTGGCGGAGAGGGTGCAGGGAAGAGACAGTGCCTTCTTTCTGCGTTTCATCCGGGCACGCAAGTTTGACGTGGGCCGCGCCTATGAGCTGCTCAAAGGTGAGGCCTACGCTGGCAGGAGGGAGGAAGGCAGAGGAGGGGTCCACCCTGGGCCTGGCTCTAAGAAGACCCCCTTCCTAGAAAAAAAAAAGACCCCCTTCCTGCCATGGGCAAGTCACTCTGAGCCTCCCTGTCCTTCTCCCACAGTATGCATGTGTAGGGGACCAGAAAGCCTTTAAGCTCCCGTTCAGCTCTGACAGCAAATGAATGAATGAATGAGTCTGTCAGTACCAGATTCCCAGAGAAATGTCCTCTCTCAGTCTTGGGGCTCAGTGAGTAGAACTGGAGTACCAGCTCCCCCATTCTCAGACCCACCCTTTGCTCTGGAACCTATAGGGAGGTGGGCAGAAGCCTCTCTGCCCTCCTTCCGCAAATGTTTATTTCTGCCATGCTGTGCCAGCCGCTGCTTTAGGGTTGCAGTGATGAGCAACTGAGACCAGAATCCCCTCCCTGCCTCCCTGGATTTGCATTCTAATGGTGGAGATAATAAGCCAGATCAATAAAAAATAAGAAAATGTAGAATGTTAGTGGTAAGGGACAAAGAAAAGGAGCCGGGCGTGGTGGTGCATGCCTGTGATCCCAGCACTCGGGAGGCTGAGGCAGGAGGATCGCTGTGAGTTCCAGGCTAGTCTGAGCTACATAGCGAGACCTTGTCTTAAAAAAAAAAAAAAAATAAAATGGAGAGAGAAGTTGAAGTTTTTAGGTAAAATGGCCAGGGAGGGCCCAGTACAGAGGAAAAACACTGTTTAATTTTTTTTTAGTACTGAAGATTGAACCCTTGTACTGAGCTACATCCCCAGCTCTTTTTGTTTTTTTATTTTGAGATAAGGTCTTGCTAAATGGCGAAGTGCCCAGGCTGGGCTCAAACTGCTGGGATTACAGGGGTGTGCCACCACATCCACCTTATCATCACATCTTTTCTTTTTTGGAGAGAAACCATGGAGCTCAGACAGGCGGAGCGTCCTGCTCCATCACACACACAATGGATGTGGATGAGCCCTAGTTCTGGTCCCACCAGCAGTCTCGGCAGGGGTGCGCTGGGCCAGCACTGGAGGGCTCCCTAAGGGTTCTTGGCTCCGCCTCCTGCAGGCTACGTGCACTTCCGGCTGCAGTATCCCGAGCTCTTCGACAGCGTGTCTCTGGAGGCCGTTCGCTGCACCATCGAGGCCGGCTACCCGGGTGTGCTCTCCAGCCGGGACAAGTACGGCCGAGTGGTCATGCTCTTCAAAATTGAGAACTGGCAGTCTGACGAGATCACCTTCGATGAGGTCAGTAGAGTGGGTGAGAGAAAAAGAACTTTGCTTGTGCCATTGAGCCTTCCAAAGCGTTCGTAGTTAGAGGAAACAGTATAAAAGCATTTAAAAAAAATGCTATCTGGTTGCCCCGCACCACTTAGTAAAAAGTACGCCTTTTCTCAAAGACTTCACGTGTTATCTTTATCATATTCTATATTTCCACCTGTATCAGGATCTATCTCTGAATTTTTAAATTCAATTCCATTGGTCTCTTTGTCTATTCATTTTATTCATGCTCTAATACCACCCTGTTTCAATTATAGAAATTTTATGGCTTGTGTGTAATATCTTTTAGATTAATGCCATGGTTTTTTGTTTGTTTGTTTGTTTTTTGGGTTCTTTTGGTGTGGAACTAGGGATGGAACCCAGGTGAATGTCCTACCACTAGGATACACCGCAGCACTTTATACTTAATATTCTGCTTTTTCTAGCTTTCCTAGCTAATACTTCCTTCCTCCTTCCCTCCCTCCTTCCTTCCTTCCTTCTTTCTTTTTCTTTCTTTCTTTTTTTCTTTCTTTCTTTCTTTCTTTCTTTCTTTCTTTCTTTCTTTCTTTCTTTCTTTCTTTCTAAGATAGGTTCTCACTATGTAGCCCAGGCTGGCCTCAAACTTGCAGCGATACTCCTGCCTCAACCTCTTGAGTGCTGGGATTACAGGTGTGCACCACCACAACCGGCCTTCCTAGCTATTTTTGAATATTTGTTTTCCTTTGTGAACTTTAAAATTAATTTGTCCAGCTCCAAGAGAAACATTAGGTACATTTTTGGGATAATATTACATGTAAATAACAAACTTGGGGAGAATGGGCATCTTTATAAATGCCACATTCATGGCTAGTTGACCCAACCACAAACAAGTGCCATCCATTTTATTCAAATTTTGAATAAAACTCTACTTTTGAATTTTTAGGAGTTTTCAAGTTTTCCTCCTAAATATTATGCACACTTCTCCTTAAATTTGCCTTCAGTGTTTATTTTGTTGTTGTTGCCATTAATGGGGCTTTCTCATCTAATTGGTGGTTGTTTATATGTAAGAAGATTGTTGTTTTTGTATGTAAATTTGTGTTCTATTTTATTGAACTTTTTTTAATGTGTTGTTTTAAAATAGAAGCTGTTGGGGGCTGGGAATTTAGCTCAGCGGCAAAAGCGCCTGCCTGGCAAGCGCAAGGTCATGAGTTCAGTTCCCGGTACCGGAGAAAAACCAAAAAAAAAAAAAAAAAATAGAAGCTGTTGAGTTTTCTAAGTATACTTAATATTACCTGTAAATAAAGGTGATACTTTCTCTTCTTTTCTATTGCTTATGCCCCTGATTAAAAAAAAGTCAATTACTGCTGGACATGGTGGCGCAGGCCTATAATTCCAGAACTTGGGAGGCTGAGACAGGAGAATTGCCATGAGTTTGAGGCCAGCCTGAGCTACATTAGTGAGTTCAAGACCAGTGTGCACTAGATAGTGAGACCCTGTCTCAACCGCACCCCCTAAATTACATAGGCTAGTACTTCCAACACGGAGTTCAGTGGTGGTAGAAATAGTGAACACCTTATGTTCTTTCTGATCTTATTGCGGATGCCTCTGGTGTTTTCCTGTGAAATAGGATACTAGCTTAAGGATTAAAGCTTCCTTAAGGGAGATGTTTTAAAAATATTTTTCTCTTACAAATAATATCTACTCATTTTAGGATGTGCAGAAATTACAAATTTCAGATCATCCACAATTATGCCTCTAGATATTTTTACTTTATTAGTACATGTTAGGTACTTTATTAGTACCTGAATTCTGTGCCCTAAACATGCCATCACTGCTCCTATCCTTTATGGTTGGACGTTCAGAACGTTTCTGGTAGTTCCACTATTCTGAGTCCCAGGATGAACACTCGGGCGTCCAACCATGGCTGTGACATTCAGGTTATGTCTGGGCAGACACTCACAGAGGGAAGATGTCCTAGATGGAAGCCTGAGGACAAGTGCCTCCAGGAAGGAATGTGCCACTTAGCTGTCCCCTCAGGGGCTCAAGTCTTAATTATCTTGGTAGGGTGGATCTCACACCCTGTTTGCTGTGTGGCCCAGATCTTGCAGGCGTATTGCTTCATCCTGGAGAAGCTCCTGGAGAATGAGGAAACTCAGATTAACGGCTTCTGCATCATTGAGAATTTTAAGGGCTTTACCATGCAGCAGGCTGCCAGCCTCCGGGCCACCGATCTCCGGAAGATGGTGGACATGCTGCAGGTGAGGGCTTAGTGCCCCAAGCCACCTACATGTGGTGAGGTTGGGCATTGCTTGCCAGTGTCACGATGCTGGCAGTGTCCTAAGGAGTTGACCACCTAGTGCCATGAAGAGCAATGACAACTGAGCACAGTGGTGCAGGCCTATAATTCCAGCACCTTGGGAGGCTGAGGCAGGAGGATCACAGGTTCAAGCCCAGTCTGGATAAATTAGTGAGACCTTGTCTCTAAAGAAAAAAGTAAAAAGGGCTGGCAATATAGCTCAGTGTGAAGGCCCTGGGTTAAACTCCCAGTGCCACAAAAAACAGCGACAACCTCAGTAAGAACCACAAACACTTATATGGTGATCGAGTTTGCCAAATACTGAGTCATTATTTCACTGACTCCTTAAGTGCATCCTCTCCCTGCATCCCTGCTTTATTTTACAAACCTAGAAGCTGGGGCTCAGCAGTGGAAGTGACTTCTCAAGGATGCCCAATGATAAAAGTGGCAGAGACTGGACTTGAATCTACATCTTCTGACCTGGAATTGCAGGCTTTCTGTCTCTGTGAATCACACTGTCTTTCTTTGCTTGTGAATTTACCCTGAGGAAGGGTTGTTATCACCCTGCCAAGGACTCACTTCTCTACGCACAGATGTGTCAACAGCCCTTGCTTAGAGCGGCCTTAGGTCCACTCTGTGTGTATGGGGAAAGACAGGTGAGAGTGGAGAGGTTGTGTGTGGGGGTTGCTGAAGGAAAATGAGGCACGACAGTAGTAGCCCTGTGGTCTATAAGGGTGTGCAGTCTACTTAAACAGCATGGTGGCACACACCTATAATCCTGGCGCTGGAGGAGGCTGAGGCAGGAGGATCACAAGGTTGAGCCTAGCCTGGGGAACTTAATGATTTAGTGAGATCCTGTCTCTAGAAATAAAAATTTGAAAAGGGCTGGGAATGTAGCTCAGTGCAAAGGCCCTGGGTTCCATCCCCAGTATTGGGGGGAAAAAAAAAAGAACTTGCACTCCTCATGCAAATGGGTTTGAAAAAACACAGGCACTAAAAACCCAAGCAAAGCTACCATTTCGCTTCTTCACTGAGCTCTAGGGTATTCTGCACCTATGGCAGAGGGCTGGGTTCCATACTTCTGGGGCTTCTTCCCTTGAAGCGAGGGGCCCCAGTGGCTGGCCCAAGGATGGAGCCGTCCATGGGCTGGCCGGCCTTGGGGGCAATGCACAGTGCTGGGCAAGTCAGTCCCCATGCCATGGGAGAGGCATGGGGGTGAGAAGAGCCTCTGAGGCCACCGGGGCCGTGTGGCGGGGCCTCTCTGTCACTGCAGGATTCCTTCCCCGCCCGGTTCAAAGCCGTGCACTTCATCCACCAGCCCTGGTACTTCACCACCACCTACAACATGGTCAAGCCCTTCCTGAAGAGCAAGCTGCTGCAGAGAGTGAGTCTGCAGGGGGTGTGGGCCTTAACAGGAAAGAGCTCTGGGGACAAGAGGGGCGGGGTGCTGTGGGGCAGGGGCCCAGCGCGTCCACCCCCCACAGACTCTGTGTCCTGGTGCTGAGCTGGTGGGTCCCTGGTAGCACAGACCTGGGGCACTGTGGAGAAAGGCCTTGCCCTCCTCTCTGCTACACCTGCTCAACTGTGGTGAAAGGCCTTGCCCTGCCAGCTGCCCTTCTCCTCAGGCGTCCTCCTGCCCAGCTGTGTCCCTTGCTTCCCTGCAGGTGTTTGTCCATGGAGACGACCTCTCTGGCTTCTTCCAGGAGATCGACAAGAATATCCTGCCTGCTGACTTCGGGGGCACCCTGCCCCCATATGATGGCAAGGTGGCCGCTGAGCAGCTCTTTGGGTCCCAGGCCCAAGCTGAGAACACGGCCTTGTGAGGCACCTCCTCCATCCAAGCTGTAGTTAGCATCCCTGGCCACTCTTCAGCTATCCCAGGCCCAGACTGGCAAAGGGCTGCCTGAAGTGACTGTAGTTTCCCTACCCTCCCTAAACTTAGGTGAGTTCAGAGGTCATCTTCATCTCAAGATGGGGGAGGGGCAGTAAAGTAGGGCAAGTCCCTTGAATGGAAGGACTGGGGCAGTCATCTCCCCATCTTCCTTGGAAGCTGTAGGATGGTGACTTTGTGTGAAGCTGAATTTCAAAGACTCCACTTAGACCTCTCAGTAATTTCTTTTGTCACAGAGCTTCACTGTTTAGGATCTGTAAAAACAGGCAAGGAAGTGGGGTTACTGCCCGCAGCAATAAACAGGATCAAAGTGGAGGGACTTAGGCTCAGATGATTTGGCAGACACAGTGATATTGGTGCCCTGTGGCAGGGGAGGGGTTTTCTGCACAGAATTCCCGGGGGGAAGAAGCTGTGGAGCAGCTTCCTTTTAGGGTGGCCCTCTCAGTCAGGTGCCGTCTGATTTGTGCAGCCAGGGTTAGGAACTTGGACCTCCTTCAGGTGACAGCCATGTCCCCCACTGTCTGTCTGGGGGGATGGGTCTGCTACACCCCTCCAGAGCCCTGGCCTGTGTGTGACTCTAAAAATGTACAGGTGGCATCTCTCTGGACTCTCTCAGCCCTCACAGCAGAAGTGCTTGTCTTCAGTACATTACAGGGAGGAGCTCAAGTATGAGCACATTGACAGCTACGTCGTGTGGGGTAGTGTGGTGCCATTCTGTATGCTTTGATAAATACAAATGCTTTCTTCCTGTGGAGCTGGCTTTCTCCAAGTGCTTGATGACTTTGGTCCCTAATTCTTATTTTGTTTTCAAATAACCAGCTCTATTTTTTTTTTTCTTCTTTTCTGGTACCGGGAATCAAACTCACGACCTTGTGCTTGCCAGGCAGGCGCTGTGCCGCTGAGCTAAATCCCCAGCCCCCTGCTTGGTGGCTTTGGAGTGTGCACTCATTTCCGTAGGTGCCAACCCCCAGCAGAAGCGTCTGTTTGCTGAGCTTGAGGCTCCTCTGGGGGAAGTGCTGGCTTTCTGGGATGGGCTCGCAGGCATTGGCAGATACTTCTCCCAGGCTGCCATTCTTACTGCTAGCTGAGAGCTGACACTCCTTTCTGTTGTCTGGCTAATGATGGCAGGCGAGGTTACCTGGCTGGGTTGCAGCCACTGAGGTATCCCAGAACCAACCCAAGACTGCTCTTGCCTGTAGGGTCCCCTCCTTCCTTGGTGCCATACCCACCTTTTGTGGCAAGGCCTTCCACATGTTTTCTGGACTGTAGGGTCAGTTCCATCCCATCAGGCGTACACCTTCGAGACTTCTCTTATCCACAACAGTTCTCTTTCTTGTTTTGTATGCATTGATCTCTTCCACGCTTTCTTTCATCCCTAAGGTTGGCAGTCTGTGCTTATTACCCAAGAAACTCCCTTCTTTATAACGTTCACAATCAATAACCCGTGGACATCCATGGTATTCACACAGGACTTCCGAGCTGGAGGAAAATCATAGCAAACTATCATTACTGTGGGTGGAAGAGTGGGAGGCTGACCAGTGGGGATTTCTCCCCAAATCCCTCTCCACTGCTTTTAAAAAGTTGAGGCTGCCCTTTATCAAATCAAAGCTTACATGGGCCCTTGATGTGAAAACCTAAAAAAAATGAAGCTGCTCTGGGTGAAGATCGCAGAGGGCTCCCCGAGGAGTTTTTGGAGCTAAGATGGTATTTCTAAACAGTACTTGAGCACGTGGGCAGCTATGACCTGTGGGGCAGTGGGGTCCAGCGGAGACTGCATCTGTCAAGGTGGAGGGTGCTGGTGACCCTCTTAGAAGTGCTGCTGGTAGAGTGGGTGTGGGTGTGGGGCTGAGCTAAAGAATTTAAAGGAAAGAGTATTTTTTTGTTTTCAAGATATACTTCTAATTTTCAAGAGTTATACTCCAAATCTGAGGAATGCAGTGGTCGATCTTAGCTCTCTCTGAGCCCTTACTTGCCAGGAGCCCTCTGGGATGTAGCCTTTTGGATTGCGGAGGCTCTCAACTTGTCAATCAGGATTGACTGACAAGATCAGGATGGGGAGAAAAGTGCAGGCAGATACTGGCCCAGGAGGGTTCTCAGCCAGCCTTGGCTCCTATTCAAGTCCCAAGAGGAGGCCAGGGTTCCCCTTAAAGTCAGCAGAGCCAGGGCCTTAGTTCAGAGACCCTTTTCTGACAATAAAATCCAGTAGCTTTGAGGAAGGAGCTGAAGGGTTGGGACCTGGTGAACCCGCTCTTATTGTGGGAGTGCACTGCCCCCTGCTGGCCTTGTTTGGCACTGCCCCCCTGGGCACAAGCAGGGCAGGAAGGAGAGGGGAGGGACGCTCTGCCAGACTGGCCTGGGAAAGCCACTGGGAGAACATGTGTGGAGATCTTGAATGTTCAAAGCTGACATGCAGTCGGGCAAGCGTGGTGGCCCGCGCTTATAATCCCAGCCCTCGGGAGGCTGAGGCAGGAGGATAGCGAGTTTGAGCCCAGCCTGGACAACTTAGTGACTTAGCAAAACCTTGTCTTAAAAATTAAACAAATATAAAAAAAGGGCACGGGCTATAGCTCAGTGCAAAGGCCTTGGGTTCAATCCCCATACCACAAACACAAAACAAAAAGCAAAAAACCTGACATGGTTAAACTGACAGAATCCCAGTGGCCTATGTGTGTGATTCCACATGCCCCTCCCTCCACCCTGTACTCATGCGCTAGAAGAATGAGGACAATGAAATGTGCTTGAAAGCCACAGCCACAAGAAGGGGAACAAAGCACGAACTTGATGAGGATCATTCCTTCCTTCCGAGACGTCTGGGGTGAAGCCGGGACTCTGCTGCAAGCAGTGACTGGGGCAGAGTGACAGCCAGCAGGGCACGGGGTTGTTTCTAATGTCCTCATGTGGCCCTTGGGACAAGGGAGAGAGCAGATTCTGGAGGCCATTCACCAGCGGTGGGCGGGGGTCTGCGCAGAGGAACAGCCCCCAGCCTCAATAGCCTCTCACTGGGATTGGCCACTGCGTGAGCCTCGAGTTCACTAGCAACACTGGGGGAGCCTTGTCCTGCCCCATGGCCTGGGGAGGCTCCGGGAGGAGGTATGCCCTTGTCTTAAATTAAGCCAGCCAGGGAAAGGGGTTGAGGCATCAGCTAAGGGATCATTTCTGGCCCCACTCCAAGGGGGGTGCCACTCTGGTGCTGAGGACGGTCAGCAGGATTGGGTCTAGAAGCTCGCAGGCTCCTGGGAGCCTCACCATTTGAAGGGTGCTCCAGGAGGGCAGCAGCATTTGCCTTGCTCTGGAGCTCGCTAGCAATGCAGAATGTGAGACTCTGCCTCAGCCCTGCTGAATCAGAACCTGTATTTTTAAGAAGACTCCCAGGCAGTGACCATTAGAGAGCACATCAAAGCTCCCGATGCAGTGGTCCGCCGCCTCCCTGCCACTGGAGTCCTCTAAGAGCTTTAAAATGACTTCAGCTGGGCTCTAGTGACAGAGTTCTGCTATACTGGGTCGGGCCAGGTGCCCCCTGTGGCTCAAATATGCTCCGAGTATGCCCTGCGTATTGACATGCAGAGACTGTGAGGCTGTGGAAGAATGAAGTCTGGGAAGCGTCAGTATCTAAGGATTTAAGGGCAAACTCTTCACCTGAACAGATAGGACAGAGAAGCAGGGCTGCCACAGTGTGGCCCCTCCAGCTTGGGTTATGAAAGCCCAGTGTGAAGGTATCAGCCAGGCTAAATGTCACAGACTAAGAGCAGGTTCCTCTCCGGGGCTGTGTCCAGAAGCAGCCCTATGGGTGTAATAAGTACACTCTGAACTCTCAGCCTGAACATGTTGAGAAGAAAGGTTTGGCGGTACACGTAGCTTGTCAGTATTTCCAGCCTAGGAATGCTTTTTTTTTTTGTCTTTTTGAGGCAGGGTCTCATTATGCAGTTCAGGCTGGCCTTGAGCTCACTTTGTAGCTCAGGCTGGTCTCAAACTCCTGACGATCCTCCTGCCTCAGCCTCCCAAGTGCTGGGATTATAGGTGTGTGCCACCACGCCAGGCCCTAGGAATGCTTTTGGAAACTATATATATTCAGACCTGTCTCTGCTTTCCCCGTGGGCCCATCAGTTAGGTGCTCTGGTGTGAAGCTATGCCACAGGGACACTTATCTTCCACATCTCACCCCATTCCAGCAAGTGATCTACGAGTGGGACTCAAAGTGAAAGCCACAAAGTGAAATAACACTGAAAATGTTGTTTAAGCTCTCAGTGCCTTGCAGCAGGCATTCTTAATAATGATTCTCATCTTTATCCCAAGTAAAAACTCCCAAATCTGACACTGCAACCTGCTTAAGGTCAAAGGACGAGGAAGTAGGATAAGACTCCAACCCCACAACTCTTGCTTTGACTCCGTGCTGCAGTTTTTTTGTTTGTTTGTTTTTTCTCCGGTATCGGGAACCGAACTCACGACCTTGCGCTTGCCAGGCAGGCGCTTTTGCCACTGAGCTAAATTCCCAGCCCCTGTGCTACAGTTAATGCGTATGTTTTATCTCAAATGTTTATTTCTGGGGGTGCGGGTGTAATTGGGAGAGCAGAAGAGGAGCAATGAAATGAGAACTGGAATTTATGCCAGGTCAGTTTCCCCAACCATCCTCGGATAAAGGAGGAAATAACTTTAAGAGGAAACCAACCAGTGTTCAGTAGAGATGCTGAGGTAATTCCGAGGTAGCATCAAACGGGCTAGCACTGGCCCGGGGATATAGCTTAGCATCACAGCGCCTGCCTGGCAAGTGTAAGGCCCTGAGTTCAATTCCCGATACCAAAAAAACAAGAAACCAAAAAACCCAAAAGGGCTGGCATGAATTCTGAGCTGCGAATAGGATGGAAATCATACGCGGGCACATTCCAAGGCTGAAGTAAAATACAAGTTTGTTGTAGGCAAGACACAGCTGACTGCTCCACAGAGAACAGCCCGAGAAAGGACAGCAGAGTCGGCGACACATAGACAGAGGGCCTAATTAGGGACCGCAGAGGCAGCCACTACACAGACAGAGCACCCTGCACAAAGGAGAGTTTATTTTCATGGACTCTCAAAGGAATGTCATTAACTATTCATTTTTGAAAAGAGGGGCAGGGGCCTCTGGACAGGGAGTTTGCCTGCCCGTTTCCTACCCGGCAGCTACTTCAGCGTCCTGTTAGCTCGCTGCCTCAGTTACCGTACATACTGTACACACCTGGACTCTGGACTCGGAGGCAGATTGCCTGGGTTCAGATCCCTCTCTGCATTCCCTGAAGTTCATTCGCTGTTGGGCCCTGAGCGACTTAACCCACTTTAAGTCCTGTTTGCTCCCTGCCTTGTAGTCACAATGGGAGTGGTGGTGTTATTTTGTCCCCTTTGGGAGGAGGTTCAGCAATTCAAGGCCAAATTGCCTGCAAATGTCTTTCCCTCAGAAAAAGGGACCACACCTTCCTGTAACTTCTGCTAAGGACTCTCAACAGAGAGGAGGGGAGGCTGTCACACTGGGGGCCATCGTTAAGGTGTTTGGGCCTCCCCGTGTGGAAGCAGCCAGCTAACGAAAGGCACAACAGCAAGTATGTTGACTCTACTGGAGCAGCCAGGAAGTGTCACCAAAGACAAATGCGAGAGGACTGCCTAGCCGAGGTGGCGGATGCCACTCTGGGACACTGTTGGCACCAGCCTACCTAACACCCTGGACCTGAAATCTTTTCCAGTAGCTCTTTTCATTCTCTGAAAGAGAATGAAACATTCGGTAATGTAACATAGGTAACATTCTCTGAAAGTTGATTTTCTTGGATCAAAACAGTCTGTTTCGTGCATGCGTGTATGTGTGTGTGTGTGTGTGTGTGTGTGTATGTGTGTGTGGGAACTTGCTTACCAGAGAGGAATTAAGTTTGAAATCTGATATTGGGCATTCTTGTGAATGGCACACCCTCAAAGCAACACTCCTACCCTGCCCTACTTGTCAAAGGTTTTGCATGGCGTGAGAAGGCGGCGGCTGTGAGTGCGAAGATGGGGTAGAGTGCAGCTCTCTTGGCTGAGCCAGTGCCTGGCCTGGGAAACCCTTCAGTCAGGTTCGGAGAGAGCCACAGAAAAAAACACCACCCCAATCCAACGCAACCCAACCCAGCCTTCATCTAGTCTTCAAAGAACGTTATTGGAAAAGCATCGTCATTTCCGGCAGGCACTGTTTCCATGTGCCTTGAATTTGTCCGCGTGGTTCACTGTAGAAAGTGACCGAACACTGATGCCTCCACCTGCTTTGGCTCTTGGTTTGCTTGCCTGCAGATGCCATGGGCTGGTCCCACCTTTGATATTTGTTTGCAAGGCAGTGTTAGGGTCAGTTGTGAGGGGAAATTGGTGTTTTGTGGATTTCCATTATACTCACGCTTTGGTGAAGATACAGGAGTAATCCCTTTTCAGTAGAAAATCCCCGCTTAGACAAAGCAAACAGACGGAGCAGCACATTTTTAGTCTTTATTTTTTTAAGTAAAGAAATTCCATTGAATCAAAGATAACAAAATTACAGTTTTTGTTTGTAATGATCTTTGTTCACCACCACACAGAATCAAAGTTGAACCAAAAGTAATATGAGAACAGAAAATGATCAAGGACATCATTGTTTAGTATCATTTCTTAATAAAGGTAAATATCCTCATATTTAGAAAAAATTGCATTGCTAGTTGCAAATCTTAGAACACCTCAATGCTGAAGGATACTGTATTTCCCCCCCAAAGATCCAGCAGCGCAGAGGTGCTATGAACAAAAACTCAAAAATACAGTATTTTCAGGGCAGCATTTGAAGTTTGGGAAAATTCAAAAAGAACAAAACAAACGAACCAGAATCAGGAATGTAAAAGTGATGGTTCTTAAAAAATCAATCTGGAAGCAGATCTGCCAAGAGAAGAATATGGCCGGAAGGGGTCTCACAGGGAAAAATCAAACTGATGCCCCGCCCCCCACCCCCACCCCTGGCATCACTAAGGCAGCTGCAATGGCAGAAGTCAAAAGCTCAGGTACAGTGAAGGTCTTCCTGAGGCAGTGGGAGAGACCCAGATCACCTGGAACTGGTGTGGAGAGGTGACAGGCTTCTACATGGACTTGTGCTTTAGGAAAACCAAAGAGGCCCAAATACAAACCAAAAAGAACCTAACTCCTGCACCCAGGAGCTTTGGCCACTCAGGAGAACAGCCTGGGAGAGAAGTGGTTGGCCCTGGGACCAAGGCGGGCAGCGATTACTCTAGGTGACCACTGGTCTGGGAGGAGAATGCCCATTGTGACTAAGGGTAGGTATTTCTGCAAGTGCTATAAATGGACTGTCCCCAACTTATGGCAATAGTGGATTTCTTGGCTAATGGGGACCAGAACGGGAGAAAGTAGGTTATGGACTTGACAGGAGCCTAGTTAAAAGCTGAGAACTTCAAGAAACTCAGAATGTGAGACTTAATCCACCAGTCTGAAACTTCCTTCAGCTTACTTATTAGAGATGTTGTACACAAAAGCTCTATCCACCTATATGCTAGGGAAAAAGAGTTCAGAAAACATGGTGGACTGGCTCCTCCAAAAGGCGCAGCTGTCTGTTTCCTACGAGTCTGAGAATGGCTGGCGAGCTGTCCTCTGTGGCCTGCTGCCAAGAGCCGCTCCGGGAGCATGTAGGCCGTGGCACCCCGAGGTGGTGGCTGCAGCGACACAGGGAGAGCAGGTGGCCTTTGCTTTGGCTGTTCTTCCAGTTCCCTCTGCCAGCGGGGCCTGTTCGCCTTTCCTCAGCTCCAAACACAATTTGGAAAGAGCAACCTAGTTTATGAGGAGGGGGTGCCTCTTTCTGCTTAGATCACAGAGATGGAAGGAAGCCTTGCCTGCCACTGCTTGGCCTCAAGATGCCCCAGGCAGGCATTCAGGTAATCCAGGTGACTATGAACAAGACCAAGGCCAAAAAGACAGAGGGGTGCCAGAGATGAGGCCTCCTGGCCCGTGCTGGGTGCTCGCATTGTGGAGGGCTAGGAGGTGGGGTGGAACTTCACAAGGTGCCTTCAGGCCCTTGCAGGAAATGCTCTGGTTTGGCTGTGCCTTTGCTTCACCCTCCCAACGCAGAAGAATTTGAATTCCTGCGCCACAACATTGTTGTGATACCAAGGGATCTTCTAGAGGTAAGTTAAGGCTTTGTGGGCAAAGAAGACAGTTCCAGATGATACTGTGATGGAGCGCTGCAGGGAAATGCTCCCGAACAACTCCGGTCTGCCCAAAGGACAAAGACCTATGTGTTCCTTCAACTCAATGTTTCAGTGATCTTTACTTTAGCTCTCAGTTAGGGTCAAGGCCACAGCAAAAGAAGTATCTGCCTGTAATCCCAGCACTTGAGAGGCTGAGGCAGGAGGATTGTGAGTTTGAGTCCTCCCTGGGCAACTTAGCAAGACCCTGTCTCAAAATAAGAAATAAAAAAGGGGGCTGGAGATATAGCTCAGCATGAAGGAAGGCTGTAGATTCAGCCCCAGAACTGAAGAAAAAAGAAAAAAAAAAAAAGAAAAAAGAAAAGCCTTTTACATCTCAGGCATCTGCTTGCCTGGCAAACACAAACAAGAACACATGCATTGTCTCCTTGGAGCTGGCGAAACACCTCTCAAGTCACCCACTGACAAAGAACACGCTCATTCAGATGCCGGCCATACAAGCGCAGCAACCCCGACAGCTCGGCTCAGTGAAGACTGCGTTAGAATGAAAGCCTGAGAAGGAAGGATTTCTGCTCTGGGAGTTCTCCATGCTCTGCCTTGTCCCACTGAAGGATGGAGACGCTGTCCTCACCCCAGTGGCCAGCACCTGCCAGCCACGAGACTGCCCTTAGAAGCACAAGGAGACTACGTACGAGAACAGTGAGGATCTGGAAGGGATGCCAGTCAAAGACACAGGGCTTTGGACAACATCCGGTGTTCTGACAGGGAAAAGCTGAATGAACAAACTTGCTTTCTCCCAGCCTTTTGCGATGAGCTGTGGGCAATGACCAGCCCCTGTCACCTTCAAGCGCCACAGATGCCAAGTTCAGGCAAATGTTCAACAATGACCCAGCAGGTGACATGGCCATAGAGACGGCCTAAGATGAGGCGACAGGTGGAGAGGTGAAGTGACTTGCCCGCTTGTCCAAAGTGATTTTGTGACAGTGGGTTAGGTGGCTGGGTCTCTTGGGCCCTGGTTCCATAACAGCATGTCAGGAACGCTCCCCTTGAAAGGTAATTTCCACCTTATGGTGGGTCCTAAGATTCCCTGCTGGCATAAAACACTGCGGAGAGCTTAAGACAACAACACAGAACTTTCTCTCCTCACTCTTCTCTGCAATCAGTGGTGCAGAACTGCAGGAAAGATAAGAGGTTTTCTTCTACTGCACTAAACTCCCGTCTCATATAAATGCATCAAAGAGGCTTGATACTGTTCTTCAAGTCAGAATCCTAATCTGACTAGGATCTATTTGGGGGGCAAGGAGAAAAGTGGATGCTTCTGCCCCTCAGTTTTTGACAAGTTATTACTGCCCAAGAACTGTCCACATCTACATGATTTATAGCCTTAGTATGATTTTAAAATAGAATATTTGAAAACTCTTCAATGATGCAGCCTTGTTTTAGCCCAAACAAAGCCTTACTAGCAAGCACAGCATTTGCATTCTCATCAGCAGTGAATGACTTCGGGAAGAAGAGCGCAGAAGCCCAGAGGAAGGGAGAAGGTGACCTACATAGAAAGAGCCAGGCCCCTGTTGGTCGGGCGACTTCGCATCGCCACGTTCAGTCCCTCTGTGCTCTCATTCAGGCACAAACAAGAATTCTCCTGTGAGACCGCACGGTCCCGTGCTCATTTCCGTGCCTGAGAGCCTGAAGCCTGAATAAAGGGCTTCAGTTGATGTCATGTGAACCCAAATGGAATGTAAGTGCCATTCAGATCACACACTGAAGAGATTTCAGCCCCCTCCCCAGGGATTCTGGTAGCAAATCTGTGTGCCCCAACTCTGAGGACACCCCCACACCCACCCCTGGGTGTGAGACCACAGGGTGGTCTTTTCTTCTGAAGGGATGGGTACCTGGCCACCACTCTTGTTATGGGTCAAGAGATGTGGCGTCAGGCAAGAAAAGGAGCCCCTTGCTTCTGGGATGGTGATTCAGTCCTTTCAAGTTATTGCTTGGTTTACTTATTTTCACAAAAAGTGAAAATCCCTTCAAGGGATGAAGGTTGTAGCAGGAAGCATGGCTAGGAATCTTCCAGGTTATAGTTGTGATTGGGTGGGAGAAGTAACAGAGGAGAAAGACTAGCTTCCAAATTGAAGGGTAGAGGATAAAGTGCCAATTTGTGCAAAAAGAACACAAAAAGAAAATGCATTGAAGAAACAATGGTTTGGGAGGAAAGCCAGAGTTCTATAATTTGATGCCGTAAGAAATTATACCAAAGTAAAGTGGAGACCACAGAAATCTCAGTCTTTTGAGATAACGGCTGTTTCTGATGTTATTAGGGTGATCTGGTGATTGTCAGGAAAGAACGTCTTCAGGTTACAGACATTACTGTCACATTCACTTGGGTCAGTGCCCAAACTCCATCCAGTGTGGCCCTTTGGGCTGGCATTTAGGTGCTCAGATGGCCCTGTGTCCACAGACCCACGAATTATTTCCTAGTCTGTCCTGCAGCCAAAGGAAACGAAGGACAGAAAATAGTTTTGTAAAGTATCCAGGTGATTTCACTCAGCTCTGTTTGCTTCCAGAGAGTAATTGCTGATTTTTCAAAGTGCAGGGTTCTCAGATATTCAAGTACCACAGGATTGGAGAAAAGTACTTGAAGCCTACAGTGACACTTTCCCTTGAGAAGCCATTTCAGGAAGATCCATCTAACAGATAACAATTAGAGACTATTCCCTTCAAAGTCTATTTTCAAGTAACACCTTCAGGTGGAAATACCTTTCTTCAAACCCGAGTTAGAGGGACCAGGGTTAGAAACTAAAATTACAGTTAAGTGCTTAAAAAGATTCCCAAGACCTCTTTATGTGAAATGAGGGACAGGGAAAAAAAAAGGCAAATGATGACATCCACATGGTCCCAAGAGGGATGTTCTCTCAAATCTCAGTAAACTGAGTTTGTCATTGAACTTCAGAATCAGTGGTCATGTCGGCAATCGACCTGGTCCAAGCCCCCCGTGTCACAGGTGAAGAGACTTAAGTCCAAAGGGACTCTTGCAGGGTCATACAGCCGGTGAGAAGCAGAGCCAGGGCTCAGCCCAAATTCCCACTCTTACCCGGGGCCTTTGTGGGGCCATCACACTGTGGTCACACAGGGCAGTTACACAACATGCCTTGCTGTTCTGGAGGCCCTGGGAGTGAAGTGACACCAATGAGCATGAGTTGCAATGCGATGAGCCACCAAGATGTTCTGATGAGGGAAAGGCGCCTAGAAGGGGGTTTCCCAAGTTTGCCTGCTGATGAGAATCCCCTGGGGCACTTGTCAAAAATTAAAATCCCCAGACCCCTTCCCAGACTGTCTGCAAGGGGAGGGGCCTGGGAGGCTGAATTTTTAACAAGTGCCCCGTGTGAATCTCAGCAGCAGCCAGGCATGAGGAAACTGCTTGGGAGGTGGGGAGGGAGAAAACTTGGCTTGTGACTCAGGGGAATTCCTTTGCCATTTCAGAGGGCCAGGCCCTGGGGTTCCCAAGCTCAGCTGTGTCTTCAGCACGGGCCTAGGATGGGGAGCCCTGCATACAATCACCATGAAGTAACCCATGTCCTTCGCTGTTCTCAGGGAAAAGCCTTTTGACTGGCAAAGCAAAATTGCTGCTCAGATACATTTTCAAGAGGGAAACGAGATGTACTTGGCTTAAAAGCAATCAGATGCTGAAACCTGATGAGGGTGAGAATCCTGTTGCTTGTCACCATGGCTAACAATGCAATGGAGGAAACCAGTAACTAAGCACAAAAATAGCCGGGAGCTCCCAGGGGAGAGCCGCCTACTTGAGATAAGAGTGCATGATGGGTGGCCCCGCTAATGGTGTGAGGTCAGATCCAGGTCACTGAGGGAGATGGGAGACCTGAAGCAGCAAGTGAGGGGACATGGGGCCTGGGGGAGGGCTGCTGGAGCGTGCCAGAGTCCTGAGGCCTCACTCCAGCTCAGCCTCCACCTGCTCCGTGTCAGAGCACTGCGACTTGTTTCGTTCCCAGTGGCAGATGGCATTGGCGTATTCCACCACCAGCTTATCCATCCATGTCAGGGGCTCAGGGAACAGCACGGAGCCTTCAAAGAAGCCCAGGTGGCCACCGTGCAAGGGCAGCACAAACATGACGTTCTCCCGTTTCTCTGCAGGGCAAAGGCAGCGGGTTACTACTCCTTACTGAGGACCAGGTGAGAGGGGTAAGGAGGAGCTGGCCAGGGCATTTTGCTCACAGGGGAAGGTCACCCAACCTCTGCTCCCTCTGCTTTGTTCACCAACATGGGAATAGGCCTTTGTTGGGACCCAGCTTGGCTTTGGTGTAGAATGGGCACCTGCTTCAGGAGTCCTTGGGACTCTAAGTCCAGTGGACAGGGAGCGTCTCACGGGAGAAGGAGGGAAGAGCTAAGGAGGGGAGCCCAGGCATTGGGACTGCTACAGCTCCCAGGTGACCCGTTATCCTCCGCAGTTTTGTGCATCTGGATCCCCTGGGGTATCTTATTAAATGCAATTCTGATCGAGTAAACTGAGGGGGGGCAGGCTCAGGTTGGGGTTCATAGCATGCAGAGGGTTATTTATTGGAGAACAAGGAGAATTCAGTGGCATCAATGTTTTTTCATTCCTGGCATTTAAGACTAAAGGTTAACTTAGAGCTGGAAGTTGTGTGAAAGGACACCCGCCTGCCAACGGGCCATCCTGAGAGTTAACCTGAAGTTTGCCTTATGAGTCTTTGGTTAGGTTGGCCCCACATGGGCTAGGACAAGCCGCCACTGAAGATGTGTGTAGAGGGGGCAGCCAGATTTGACAGGAAGTGTCTGTCTTCCCAGGGAATAGCTGACAGGGACCCCTTGCTGGCTCTCTGGGGCTTTTTCTTGTCTCACTCCCTTTTTGGTTGCTGTTTTAGAAACTCGTGTGATAGCATTAGCGCTGTGAACAGTACTTAGGGTCTGGAAGGAGGTGAGTGTTGGTGCTTACTTTCTTTCCCTGCTGCACATGTGGCTGGATGGCACTGAGCCTGTGCTTACAGAGGGCATGGAGATAGCTCCGACCATGTGATATGCCTCCCCCAAACACACAACCTTAGTCCCGAGCAGGGTAATAGCCCTGGCAGGCTGTGGGCCGTCTGCTGGCTACATCACCTCTGCCTAGCTCAGGGTCACAAGAGAACCAGAGGCACACTTCCTCCTGGGGATGCTATGGTATTTGCAAGAGGGAAGGTAATCACAGAGGACTGTGGAGGGTGCTGGGACATGAAGTCCTGGGGGTCTGAAATGACAGCACAAAGTAACTGTGGATGCTCCAACATTTCCTCCTGCAGACCCCCTTTTCCTCTTAGCTCCTTACCCAGCACAGAAGGAGCTGCTGCTTATATTTTTATCCTCAAAGCTGTCAGCAGAGGTAGCAGAACTGATTTTTTTGTTTTGCTTTTCAGGTCAAATTTTTAGTCTAAATACCTCTTTAAGTCAAACTCTCCCACTTAATGGAACCATAATCCCGATTCAATAATTTCACAGAACAACATAAAAGGCCCTCTTGGTGATGGACACCAGGGATGGTCCTGTCTCCTGCACAAGGATAAGACCTCAGAAGGTTCTGCCCAGGGCCTTCACAGCCCTAGGACATCAGAGGAGGCAGAGTAAGAACATTGCCATGAGCTGTTCCTCCCCAAAGAGGGTGGTCTCCAGAGGCTGGAGGTACGGTATCAGGGACGGTGACAGAATCTACTGGGGCAATTTACTGAGTGACTGGGGAGCAGGAGAACACACTTACCTGAAAGAGATTTGGGAATGGTTAGGAGACTTTCATGCACCAAAGGGTCATCAGCTGCATTCACCAACATGAGGGGTACATAAATCTGCGATGAGAAAATAAAGCAGACTTCAGTGATGGGTTCCCTTTTCCAGCCCCATGGACTCAGGGCTCAGGGCTCAAATTTACTACCAGACGTGTCTTCGAAGCAAAGGGAGGTGGGGGGTTACAGCGCAGCTTGCTGCATAAGTGGGTGACGGGCGCCCAGTCTTCACAGGCAGCGGGACGAGTTGTAAGTGCCTCTGAAGACTGCTGGGCAGTGTGTGTGTGAAGGAGCCGCAGGGGACCCGCATGCTCTGATGGAGAGGGAAGTGCTCAAAAGCATTCACTGTCAGAATATTTCTGATCCTCTTCCCAGCTCTCCAGATCAGCAATGCCTTTCATGTGAAAGACTTTACCAAGAGATATGTACATATCCGTTCAGTTAATAGTAAGGGGAGGAAAAATGAAGTGCTCCCCACTCCAGACAGAGACTTCCTGGAAGAATCTGAAGGCTGAATCCAGGAGTAGGGCGGTGGGTGCTGGGGGACTCTGGGCAGGGTGGCATCCGTGGCTGTTTTAGCAACATAGCCAATAGTCTCCTTTTGCACTTGCGTGGAAGTGGTGCCGATGGCGGACTCAGATGGTGCTGAACGGTCAGACTGGAGCAGGGAATGGCTCTGTTATCTTGGGGCTCTGATGTTAGCACTACGCAGCTCAGCACTCCCCAGTGGCTAAAATGCCAAATGTGGAGAGCTGGCTGCCAAGACAGATGCAGAGCTACAGTCATCATGATCTACTAGAGCTGGGTGGTTGGCGGGCCAAACCAACAGGTGGACGATGACTGGGATAAATGGGAAAGCCTGTGTGTGCATAAACGGAGGCGCTGTACAGAGACAGAATCAGACCAGCTTGGTGATGGTTCAGGGAAAAAAATGTATAGAGACTCGATTCCTGGTACCAGAAAAAAAAAAAAACAAAACAAAAAATATATATATAGAGAGAGTTTCGGTTCACCACAAACATACACACAGTTTATTATTGTAGTTGCTAAAAATTGCATGGATGCAAATGAGTCTACAGACTGTGACACAGAGCATCTCCTTTACTCTGTGCTCACCAAATCTTAGCTGGAATCTGGAGTTCAGTTCTAGGCACTGTGCTATGAAATACACAACAGTCCAGGATGGTGGGAGACTGAGATGGCTCTCCCATGAACCATGGCAGAAACCGGGAGGGATTACAATGCCAAAGGAAGCCTAAGAAAAAATGGACTGTTGCAGCAATATTAAGAGCTTTCGTATAGCCTAGGGAGTAGCCTGGCTTACTGGGCAGCTCCGGGGGGAGCGCATGGTGGTCACAGACTTTGCTTCAGTAAAAAGTCCAAACCCAGCTAGACTGTGGTGGAGCTCCCACCAAGGAACTCAGGAGGGCTAGGTATCTGCTGGACGTGGGTGAAGCTACAGGGAGTGACATGAGTTCTGAGCCGGTACTGGCCACTCACCCTGTGCAGGTACCTCATGCAGCTCTCTTCCTCATAGTACTCCTGCAGGGAGTTATAGCCGTGGAACTTCCTGGAACATATGGGGTGGGGGAGAAAAAGGACAAAACAACATTAGTTACAAGATCAGAACTGAAGTCACAGCCCTGGGTGAAAGCATGCCAGCAGCCAAGCTGGGTCTGAATGCCGAGCTGATTGTACTGCTGCTCTAGGTTCTGTATTGACATAGGCTCTGTGGAGGTGGCAGCATTTGGCTTTGGCATCTGGGTTCAAATCCTATCTCTGCCACTTACTGGCTGTGTGACCTTAGTTAAGTGGCTCAACTTGTCCTCACTTCAGCTGCACCTGTAGGGGTACACGGGGTCTACAGACAGAACTGTCTTAGGAGGTGCTCTGAGATTTATGATCCTGAGGTACTTATTAGCACAGTGACTGGCCCAGGCAATCACCCAGTGTGTGCTCTTTATAATGACTTGTCACATCATTTGAGGCAGTGTAACCCTAAATATGACTATCAAGAAACTGAAATTCAAATTCCTGTTGGAGTCGCTCACTGGGCCGCTGTGAACTGGAATGAAATATGTACTGGGACACAGAGATCAGACAGGGGCTCACAGCTGCTGCCCTGTGCACCCATGGAGTGGTAACCAGGGACACACGGCGTTCACCCACAGCTCTGGTGCACCTGTCTGAGAGTCCCGCAGCCTTGCTCTGTGCTGTGCTCTGATGCTGGCGAGGCTCACCCTGGAGCTCCAGTGCCAGGTGGCCTGAGGCAGCCCAGCTGGAGCATCTCTGAAAGCCTCCTTTCTTCCTGGCACAGGGAGGGGCTTGGCCTGGAATGGTGGGTTTTTCTGTTTTGATGCCAGGTCCCAAAATACGCCACCTGCCCTGAGGGGTGCATTTCTTCCACCTCTGGTCTGTGCACACAGCTCGCTTGGGAATGGACCCTTGGGGGCCTTTTGATGTGGAGCAGGCTGCGTGCAGAAATCCTCTCCAGGACCTCTGTCCTTGGTCCCCTCGCAGTCTTGGCAAAGTGTTCCCATTCTCCAGGGTGAGGGGCTGCCGGAATAGGTTACAGCCACAAAACTGCTACAACTGAACTCCATTAAAGAGGAAGAACTCTATGGGAAGCTGGGAGCATTCTCTTTGGGGCTTAAAAAACTCAGGAGATGAATTGGGAAATTTAAGATGAAAATTAAGTGACTTTTTTTTTTTAGTTAGAGGGAAATTTAAGTGACTTTTTTTTTTTAGTTAGACATACTGTAGATATCTACTAAGTCCATTTGTGTAAAAGTTTGATTCAATTCTAATGTTTCATTGTTGATTTTCTTGTCTAGTTCATCTATTTTTGACAGTGGGGTATTGAGGTCCCCCATTATAATTGTATTAGTGCTTATTTGATTTTTCCTGTCTGTTAATAATTCACACAACCCATCTAAGTGTGGGTGGTGGGTATGATTCACTCTTCTCAATACACCAGCAATTTCCTAGTTTCTATTTTTCTGGAGAAACTGTTAACAGGTACATTTCAAGGTTACTGAGTGCAACATGGCTACTAAAGTCTCATAAGGAAGAAAAGCATTCACCCCATGGCCTCAGATAGCTAGCTATCCATATCCTGAATATATACAGTGGCACCTTGGTTCATGAACTTCATTTGTTCCATGACTGCAGGGAAAATGCCACATTCATGTTCATGCAAAAAAGATGGCCACAGTCATATCTGTCACCTGATGCAGCGTTGGCAAACAGTTGTGTTCACATACCACTGCACTTGTTCACTTTGGATGACGTCTAAAGGGATTGAATAGCTGGGCATGGTGTCGCATGTCTGTAATCCCAGCACTCCAGAGGTTGAGGTAGGAGGACTGCAAGCCCTCCTTGGGCAACTTGGTGATCAAGACCCTATCTCAAAGTACTAAAATTTTTATTTATTTATTTATATTTATTTATTTATTTATTTATTTATCTTTTTGAGACAGGGTCTCACTATACAATTCAGGCTGGCCTTGAGCTCACTTTGTTGCCCAGGCTGGCCTCGAACTTGCAACGATCCTCCTGCCTCAGCCTCCTGCATGCTGGGATTACAAGTGTGCATCACCATGCCCGGTTCAAAGTAATACAATTTTAAAAAGGGCTGGGGATGTAGCTCAGTGCAAAAGCTCTGGGTTCAATCCCTCGCATAGGGGAAAGATACCAAATGTTTGTTCAATGAGCAGGATGGCCTTTTTAAAGAGAATAGTGAGGTCAGAGATAAACTCTACGTTTTGAAGCTGACCTTAGTTAGAAAACAAGGAAAGAGGTCACGGTCAGGGTCAAGATCGTGGGTGCCCAAAGGGGTTAGGGAGGTAGAACACCAGGCCACAAGGAGGGCGTGTACATCTGCATTCTTGGTTCAAGTCAGCAGCTCGAGGCAAGATGATTGGTCAGTTCCTCTGCTTATTTCCAAAATATGAGGATTTTTCTGTGAAAACTTCTTTGTTTAGACACTGGACACTTTTTTTTTGAGACAGGATCTTGCTTTGTATTTCAGGCTGGCCTTGAACTCACTATGTATCCCATTCACTATGAACTCACTATGTAGCTCAGGCAAGCCTCAAACTCACAGTGATCCTCCTATCTCAGCCTTCCGAGTGCTGGGATTACAGGTGTGCACCACCATGCCCAGCAGGACACTTACGCAAAGTGAGGGGAGCCCTATCACTATGGTGGGCTGAGCAGAGCTGGCCTATCCGTGGGGACCCACCTCATCACGTTGTCATCGATCTGTGTCAGGGACGTCGCGGTGTAGAGTCTGCTCAAGTCCGTGTCCTCCAGGCTCTGGGGTTTCTTAACGTGGTCTCCAAAGAGAGCTTGCCTAGCGTGAGACAGGAGCAAACAGTGACTCAATCACAGGTGGAGGAGAAGCCATGGCTGTAGAGCCTGGACCAGTCGCAAGCCAGGGGATGGTCCTGTCCTGCAGGCCCAGCCTGCATGGTACCTGAAACCAGAGCCTTTCAGCCTGTAGAACAAGTATCTGGTGTCCCGGATGAACCCCCAGACCTTACTTTCCTTCCCAGGGACATCCAGACAGACTGAAGGCTGGGCTCGAAGCTGGCTGAGTGTTACACTGGGGAGGAGGCCTCAGGATGAGCACTTCGGTAGGCCATGGGCTGCGATCCAAACACGGGGGGTCATTTTTGTACTGGTGTTGAACATCCCCCTTCCAGGAAGAATCCCCCCTTTCCCTTTATGAATTGTTGGCTTTGCTCAAGGAGAAAGACAGTAGCTAACTCATTAGCATTTGGCCAACAGCTCTCCAAAGTGTCAGCCAAAAAAGGACTTCTCTTGGATACCAAAATCTATGGGTGCTCTAGTACTTTATTTAAATGGTATAGGGTTGGCTTTTCGCATTTTTTTTGTACCAGGAATTGAACTCAGAACCTTGTGCTTAGTTTTTTTGTATTTGAAGAGATAAAGCATTGCTATGTTGCCCAGATTGGCCTCTAACTCCTAGGCTCAAGCTTGCCTTAGCCTCCTGAATAGTTGGGATTATAGGTACACAGGCTTTAGAATCTGCACATAACCCATACCATCCTCCTGTATATGTTAAATCATCTCTAGATGACCTATGATACCTAACACAATGTAAATAGTTGCTATGCTGTATTAACAAGAAAAAAATCTCTATCTTCAGGACAGAAAACCTTTTTAAGTCTATTTTTTGATTCGCTGTTGGTTGAACCTATGGATACAAAAGCCATGGTAGAGAGGCCAAGTGTACTCAGGACAACGGTCCTCTCCCACAGGGGGAGATCCATTCTGACAGGATGACTGTCACAGAAAGGGTAAAGTGGGTGCTGTGCTGCCCAGCAAGGGCTCTCGGGCACAGGGCTGGGCCAGGTGTGGCTCACGGAGGGAAAGATTCATTGTGGAGACCTGGTGCTCTGGGATCCATTCACAGGCTCTACAAAAGGGAGAGGGATATGTGTTTTTTTTCCCCACTTATTTTTTCCCAAAGACCAAACTAATCTATCTATCTACCTATCTATCTATCTTCTATTTATAAATGGGACAGAATTTGCAACTTAAAGTTTCCTGAACATTTCTGAGTGTTTGGTTTTCTGTAGGAAAATTTTTTTTTTTTTAAATTTTTCTTCTGGTACCAGGATTTGAACTCATGGCATTGCGCTTGCCAGGCAGGCGCTGTGCCACTGAGCTAAATCCCCAGCCCCTCTGTAGGAAATTTTTTAAAAAGCTAAATATACTTGTGGCACACTTTCTCAGTTTGTTAAGAATGATGAACCTTCTGGACCACTTTTTTTGGTGGGGGGGGCTTTTTTTTAACCTATTTAACTTTTTTGTTTTTGGTACCAGGAATTGAACTCAGGACCTTGCGCTTGCCAAGCAGGCGCTTATGCCACTAAGCCATATCCCTGGCCCTAGGGGCCTTTTCTTGAGACAAGGTCTCACTATGGAGTTCAGGCTGGCCTTGAACTCACTTTATAGCCTAGGCTGGCTTTAACTCACAGCAATCCTTCCGTCTCAGCCTCCGGAGTGCTGGGATTACAGGTGCGTGCCACCACACCCGGCTTTCAGGACCATTTAGTAGCAAAACCAGGTCTTTAGGACAATACCTGTTCCTGGGAGGAGTCAATCTCCATTCTGGAGGTGCAGACAGAGGGCCTGGATTCAGTATCCATGGCCTGGCTTCTTCCCTTCTGGCTCCATGACCTCTGTAGATCCCCAGGCCCACGCAAACCTCAGCTGAGCCATACCTAACTCTGCTCAGCGCAATCCAGCTCAAACTATGTGAGCCAAGAGGAATAGTTAATTGTCACAGCCCAGGGCACATAGGTGTCCCTCTGTTCTTTACCCACACAATGACCCACAAACATGCCTGGCAGCTGGAGAGGCTGTGAACACCCGCCTTACTCAGGTGTCCATGACCCCACCCATAGGAAGCCTCAGCTGGGGTGTGTGCCTGGCTGGGCAGTACCACACATTCTTTGCATCACTGAAAAAAACAGTCTAAAAGTTGGGCATGGTGGCACAGGCCTGTAGTTCCAGCTACTGGTGAGACAGGAGAATGGCTTGAGTGCAGGAGTTGAAGGCTGGTCTCAATTAAAAAAAAATTAAAGAGCCAGGGATATAGCTCAGTGGCACAGTGCCTGCCTGGCAAGCGCGAGGTCCTGAGTTGGATTCCTGGTACCAAAAAAAAAAAAAAAAAGTAAAAGACTGATAATTTAGTCAGCCTTCTTTTCCTGGGGAGTGTATTCTGTGAATGCGCCTATGTGCCAGACTCTGGGAGAAACTAGAACATGCCCAAACCCTGCAAGGATTCCCAAGATGTGGGAGTCACACAGAGAGAGCCTCAGAAAAGCAGTCTTTTCTGAGGTAGTGGAGATCCTCTACCTCCTTCTGTTAGAGGAAATCCGAGAGGGGCCTTGAACGATGGGTTGCTCATTTCAGTTGCGCAGGGTTTTTTTTGTTGTTTGTCTGTTTTTTGAGACAGGGTCTTGCTATGTATTTCAGGCTAGCCTTGAACTGTGGCCCATGCTGGCCTTGAACTCGTGATGATCTTCCTGCCTTTACTTCCTGAGTGCTGGGATTATAGGTGTGTGCCACCATGCGTGGTTCAGTTGCCCAATTTTGATTAAGTCTTTTATTTTTGCCAGTTTTGATTAAGTCTTTTATATTTATTTTATTTGTATTTATTTAGTTGCCCAGTTTTGATTAAGTCTTTTATATTTATTTTTATTATGTCTTCTATTTTTTTTTCAGTTCTTCATGTATTGTACATATTAGTCCTCTGTCCAAGGAATAGCTGGAAAAAATTTTTTTCTCATTCTTTAGGTTGTCTCTATAGCAGCACAATTCATAATAGCTATATCTTGGAAGGGGCCTATATGTCTATAAACAGATGAGTGGATAAAGAAAATGTGATGTTTATACACAGTGGAAGGGCTAGGGATATAGCTCAGTGGTACAAGTGCCTGCCTGGCAAGTGCAAGGTCCTGAGTTTGATTCCCGGTACCAAAAAACCAAAACAAAACATAATAGAGTACTAGCTTGCCACAAGCAAGGGAAACTTGAGTCATTTGTAGGAAAATGGATCCACCTTAAGACCATAATTTTTTTTTGTTGTTTGTTTTTTTCCAGTACTGGGAATCGAACTCATGACCTCGTGCTTGCCAGGCAGGCGCTGTGCCACTGAGCTAAACCCCCAGCCCTCATACTGTTAAATGAGATAAAAAAAGACATATAAGCTTAAATATCACATGGTTTCTCCTATTTAAGAAACCCAAAATATAAATAATGAGTAAAATAAAAGATAGATAATATGAAACAGGGAGATAGATCTTTTGGAAAAGGGAAGAAGACCAACAGATGGAGTGGGGGGGAGGAGGAGAGGGGGTGAAAAGGGAGTTAAAATGTGTCACACACGTGCACCAGTGCCCATGAGGGATATAATCATCGTGTACTGCAAGCACGTACTCATAAACAATAAAAAGTGAAAAAAGAAGAATGGACCGAGAGTGATGCAGTTTGAGCCCAGCCCGGGCAACTCTGTGACTTAGAAGGCCCTGTCTCAAAATATAACATAAAAAGGGCTGGAGGTGTAGCTCAGTGTGAAGGCCCTGTGTGTGAAGGTCCAGTGTGAAGGTCCTTCAGACCACGTGTGCACAACAAATAAGAAAGGGCTGGGGAGGGTGATGAGCAGAGCCTCAGGGAAGGGCACAAAGTGGTGTGGGAGAGGCTGGAGGGCGCAGACACTGCTCCAGCACCCAGGCTGGTGGGAGGGGCAGGGAGGACAGTGGCAGCAAAGGCACAGTGATCACGGCTGACAGTCGCAGGCCTGCTCTAAGCACTGACAGGAGAGCCTGCGCAGGGTGGAGGGAAGGAGGCGCAGAACACGTAGGACAAGTGGGTGCGTGAGCCATGGCTCGAGGCTCTGGCAGGCGGGTGCTGATGCTCTGCTCCGGGGCTCCTGTCAGAACTCCGAGGGCCAGCCAAGGCCACCCTGATGCCTGCACGGAAGCACCCTGAGGGGGAGCGTCACCTCCACAAGGAGAGGCCACCTCAGTTGCTTACTGGGGAAGGAATGGGGTGGAGGAGGTCTCCTGGCTTGGACTGACTGGGAATTACCAATGCGGAGGGTCATGGGGCAACCTGGTAGCTTGGGACGAATTTGCTCCTGACCAAGTCACCGGTGTGGTCAGCAGAGCGTCTGAGCCTCCTATCGTTCTTCCCTGGAGAGCAGGGGTTCTGGCTCTTGGTGACTGAGCCTGTCTCCTGGGAGGGACGGGAGGGTATACCTGTGTGAGAGGATGATCTTCTTCATGTTGTCAGCCATGAGGAAGTTGTAGAAGCGCCGGCACTGGTCCCACTGCATGAAAGTCTCCTGGGCCCTGGAAGAACCACCATGAGGGGAGCGTGTTGGTATGGAGGGTGGATATGGGGACACAGGCTCCCCAAGGGCCTATGGGGACAGTGTCGCTCTCTGGCCACTGCCCCACCTGGATGACACTGGAACAGGGGCTTTCACATGAGCGTGCAAGCCTCTGTGAAGGAGAAACCATATCCTCACAGCACTCCTGCCCCCTCTTCCCGCCCGGCCTCTCTCGGTCACAGAACCTGCCAGAGGCTGCTGCAGCTGTCACTTGAACACTTCCTCCATGTGGCTGCTGGCACAGGAAGAGTTCTAAACTGAAGTTCTAAAATGAACTTCAGTTGCTGATTGAGAAGCAAAGGAAAAGCACAGAATTTAACCTTCAGCCTTGCCCATCATTTGCCTGAGGATGCTGAAGGGACAGGGACACAGGAGCAGTGGCTGGCGGGGTGGTGGGGGTGTCTTTCTGCCGTTGTGCTGTGCCTGGTGGGGACAGGATAGCCCACCTGCCATGAGGGTCAGCCTCGGACCTCCCCGGGGTGGCATGAGAAGGTAAGAGCATTGCTTATTTCATACCCGAGCTCTGCTGCCACATCATAGCCAGCCCTGTCTACAGATTTCCATGTCCGTTGTTATAGCAGGATACTCAGCCATTCTTGCTCCCCCAGCCTCATGTACTGCCCCCTTGCCTCACCCCACCTAAGCAGGTCCCACTACTCCCCCGCCCTATCCATAAAAGTCCCGGCTCAATAAACTGGACTCACACTCTCCTTTGAAGTTATTCCACGAGGTCCCGCTTGGAACCCTCAAATTCAGGCTGCTGCTGTGTTCTTTACCGGGTTATCACCATTTACCTAACAGCTAACCTAGCTAGGATTCTGCCAGCAGGGCGGACGTGGCAGGGGAGAGCTGGCCTTCTGGCCAGGGTGAGTGCGGCCTCAAGTTTGGCTTTGGGGGAAAAGACCAGAAGGTAGACAGCCCTAGGCTCGGCACAACCCTGTACCTCAGGGGATGGCAGCACCTGCCTGGGACCCAGGAGGCCCGATCAAGAAGGGTAAGAGGATGGTGGCTGGGGAGAGCAGTCTGAAGAAGCCAAGATGACGCAAGGCATCGTGACAGACAGACTTTATGTGTGATGGCGCAGGAAAACTGGTGAGTCAACAAGGGAATGGGGAACTCTGGAGAGGGGAGGGGACAAAGGGCATTGGAGTTGCAGGTGGCCATATGCCAATGGGTGGGACACAAGGAGAGTGTGGAAGATCTCAGAGGTGTCAGGGAGACTGCTTGAGACAGAAAGGACCCCTTGACAGAGGCTGCGGGCTACTCAGAATAAGGTCACCTTTCAGGAAAGGCACAGCAGAGCTACACGGTAAGAAAGCAGAGACCCGCGGTGCCTGAACACCCCAGGGGAAGACATGCAAAGAACAACTGGGTGAGAGCTGGCAGGTCAGGTGGGAGAAATAAATTTTACATCTGAGATGCAAATCACAAGATGGGCACAGGAGCCAAGGAGCTTGACTTGCTTCTGTGCTCTCCACGACAGACGGGATGGCAGGAGCTGCTCCCCAGGCCACCTGACGCAGCCGCCAGCAGAAACAAGCTAAGGACTCGGAGGAAGTGTGGAGCCCAGGGAGGAAGCAGCTGGGGCACTGCTCCAGGGAGGGGTGGCTTTGTGTAACCCTAAGGGAACCCTTGTAGATAGGAAGGGTAAGGAAACCCTTGTAGGTTTCGAAAATGATGGAAAGGATCGAGATAGCTCCAACAGGAAAGACACCTCCTGAGAGGTGGGAAGCTCTCAAAAAGTAATGCTGCCGCTGAGGTCACCAAGAAGAGGAGAGCACCTCAAAGCCAGTATGCTTCACTGGAAGTCTTAGTTGAGGATGATAATATGGATTTGTGAAGAGCTTTATTCATTCGCCTGTCTACCTACCCATAACCAAAATTCAGCTTTCTTATGGTGTCTTCACCACTCCTGATCACAGTAAGCAATAACAAAATATTATCCATAATGGTTTCACAGCCATTTGTTTTGAACTGTTAAAAATAGTTTTAGATAGGTGTGGTGGGACATGCCTATAATTGCAGAACTCTGAGAGGCTGAGGCAGGAGGATCCCCAGCTCAAGCCTAGCATGTGCAATTTACCTACTTAGTGAGACCTTGTCTCAAAAAATAAGAAAAGGGCTAGGGATGCAGCTCACTGCAAAGGCCCTGGGTTCAATCCTCACTAGTGAAAAACAATTTTTAAAAAGATATTATAATCACTAAGAGTCCAAACAAACGGCATTTACAATGATGTCCAGAGCAATTGGGCAAAGAAAAGCTGGGCCAACCCCTGCTGGGGTGGGTGCTGCTCAGAGAAAGCTCCACCTTCCGGCTCCTCAGCTTTGCAAACTGAGTAGACCACACACTCCTGAGGGATTAAGTCAGAAGGGAAGGAAGCGGGGGCCAAGCACATCTGATGCCCAGGTGAATTAAAATCTCCTGGCCCCCATAAATTACACCTCAAGTACTGACACAGTGAGCCAGCCAGCAGCTTTCCTGTGCTCTCTGAGGACACACGGATAAGGATGCGGACAGAGGCGCTCTGCCTGGGATGGACCAGCACAGCTCCGAGGTCCCGATGGTGGACAGGCGGCAAGGACACTGTGAATTCAGATTGGTGATGAATGTAGGGGATGTGGATTTAGGTGATACTAAAAGACACCCTGAAAATAGTATCCTTGTGAAACTTTGAAATTAAAGTCCATTAAATATTTTCCCAGAATGTTACATCACCAAACTATTTCCACTTGGGTGAGGAGGGCTCTGCCCATATACAGCTGCATTTTTAAAAAACAGTGGTGAAAACACTTAACATTTACCATCTTAACCAGATCATTCACATTATTGTGCAACAGGTCTCCAAAATACTTTTAAATTTGCAGACCTGAAACTCTCTTTATCCATTAAATAATAATGTTTCATTTCTTCCTCCCTACAATCTTATTTATTTATGTATGATTTTTTGAGACAAGGTCTCACTGTGTCATTTAGGCTCACCTTGAACTCACTGGTAATCCTCCTGCGTTAGCCTCCAGCACTAGGATGACAGCACATGTGCCGCCATGCCTGGCTAAATCATATTTTTATTTATTTATTTATTTATTTTTGTCTTTTTGAGGCAGGGTCTTGTTATGCAGTTCAGACTGGCCTTGAGCTCACTTTTAGCTCAGGCTGGTTTTGAACTCACGACGATCCTCCTGCCTCAGCCTCCCAAGTGCTCGGATTACAGGCGTGTGCCACCACGCCCTAGATCATATTTTTAAACAGCTGCTTTCCCCTTTAATTTTAATATACAAAATCTGTCATGTTCTGCCTTTTTCTTGATGTTTTAAAATGAAAGCTGGCTAGTGGGGTATGGTGGTGCATGTCTGTAATCCCAGCTACTCAGGAGCCTGAGGAAGGATAGCAAGTTCAAGGCTACCTGGCAGTTGAGTAAGACTGTCTCAAAAAAGTAAAAAGGGCTGTGGATGTATCTCAGTGATAAGTGCTTGCCTAGCATTTGTGGAGCTCTGGATTTCAGCCCACCAAACAAAGAGACAAACACAACTGGCTTCACTTTCCCCAACCTGGCGCATCATAACTTCCTCCATCTCTAGCATGCTGGACGCGGAGATTATTTCTAACTTAGTGCTGGCGAAACCAGGACCAGCCCAGGGCCCACGGATGAGGGCGCACAGACAGACATATGGGAGGTCCTAGGCAGGCCACCATCATGGGACAGGGCTGGTGGCTCTGAGGAGGAATAGTAGAGCCTCTGAACCCAAGAGACCCAGGCTCTGGGCTGGCCACAGTTTGCCTTTTGAGATAGAGGCCACTGCGACCCGCTGGTTCAGTTTGAGAGTGTGAGCAGGAGGAAACCATGCTACTAGGGAGCAAGCCAAACCCAGCTGGGCCTTGTTAGCTCCATCGAGATGGCAGCGTGGGGTGGGAGATGGGGATGAGACTCGGGAAGAGATGCTACCCACCAACTTCCTTCTTCCTTAGACTGTTTTCCCTTAGAATGTCTTTTACAGGGATGGATTAGAATCAGATGGTATGTACGCAGCCTCTGATTTTTCTGATTCAAAGAAATGAACAAAACTCTCACCGCACTAAGGGCAAAGCATCCGGTGGTAGAAAAGCTAAACTGTTTCTTCAGTTGGAGTTCTGTCCACAGAGTTTTACTTAATCTTAGCCATTTTCCCCCTTTTGGCTCTGATACCAAATTACTGATTTTTTTTTTTCTTTTTGAGACAGGGTCTCGCTATGCAGTTCAGGCTGGCCTTGAGCTTACTTTGTAGCCCAGGCTGGTCTCGAGCTCACAATGATCCTCCTGCGTCAGCCTCCCAAGCGCTGGGATTACAGGTGTGCGCCACCACACCTGGCCAAATTACTGATTATTCCAAGTGATTTTACAGTTCTTCAGCTACAATGCAGATTTGAGGAAGGCACCATATACCAAGGGACTTTCTGAGTGATAACACTGCTGTTGTCACACACTCATCCACGGTGTGGAGTTTGCCCACTAAAAGCAAAAGAGGGAATGTGCACCACGTGCGGTGGAGAAGTGCCCCTGGCTCTGCCTGTGGTGGGAAGCTCTGGCAGAGACCCTGGGACATGAAGGGGACACAGATGTACCCAGCCAGGTGCATTCCTTGCTTTCCTGGGCACCCACTTGCCTAGTGCGCCATCTATTGTAACCGGTATCTGCTGGTTGGAAGCTTTATGAAATCATTCAATTGTCATTAAGTGCTGTGAGGTCTTCAGGCTCCGTCTACCCTTATTTATCAACAAAATGCTTTTAATTGTATAATGACTGTATTCCCAATTTTGCACTGTAAGATTTTTGAGGTCTCCTTGGGAAAGATGTGTTGATTTTATCTGAAACCAGACCAATAACGCTTCCCTTCCCTCTGTAAGCTGTGTGTGGACAGGGAGCTCCTGGCCCTTGCTCTGGGCTGTGTCTGGTACCTAGGAGGACATCTAATGGCATGAACCAGGGGCTGAATTTGTCTCCAGCCAGCCTGGCCTCAGTGCATCTCCCTCTCCACTGTGTCTGGTCACTACTCAGTGGATGAATTTATAATTCAGTGGGGTTCTTCATAATGAAGATTCAACTACTCATTTAAACCAGAGTTAGGCTGTGTCTGGCCATATCCGTCTCCAGGGGCTGGCTGGCAGCTCTTCCTGCGGAGGGAACATGTTAGTCTGCAAACACCGTGTCATCCAGGGTACTTGTGTCCCCCACCTCCCAGCCTTCAGTGCCCAGCACATGGAACAGTGTGAGCTGATGTGGCAACCTTACTAACTAGGTGACAATTTCCCCAGAGCTTGCAGGAGGCTCTTGAGGGAAGGTGAGCTAAGGGGTGAGAAGCCAGAGGGTGGGGTCTCTGGGCAGGGGCTCTTTGAGCTCAGCTAGGAGGGATTTGCCAATAGTATGAGGTCCCGGGCACAGACACAGCTGGGCTGCCATCACCCCAGTGCTGAAATGGCTCATTGCCCCCAGGTGTTGGCTGGAAGAAAAAAGTGATACTACTAGTTTAAATTCATTCGGCAGATCTGGTTGACAGGCTGAGGTGACCTCAGCCCAGGGAAGCATCAGTGCACATGGCATATGGGGTCTCTCAGTTGCCAGGAGTGCCCATGTGATCTTAGCCCAAAGGTTAATTCCCTGTCCTTACTAGACAGGGTTGATGGACAAGAGATATATGAAGCTCTTTAAGGCCTTGGGAAGCCGCTATGTGAACTATGTCTCAAAATACACAGAACCTCAGGTTCTAGCTTTCTAACTTCTTGAGCCTTCTCTGCCTTGCAACACCTTTAGTTTGCTACTGTGCCAATTGTGTGCTCTTGCCAACAGCAGGTGGTGCTACAGGGGCAAAATGAAGTGATTGTCATTTTAAGATTTTTTTGCACTGGGGAAAAAAAACAGAAGGAAAACAAACTTGTCCTACCTCCTCCTATTTATCAAATCCAGGGCTCTAAACAGAGTCAGCGTTCACAGCGAGTTCACAGCAGTTGATTTAGGAAGAGAATCCGGTGATTCCCATTTAATAGGTGACAGATTGCTGAAAATTGGACCAGCTGTCAGGCGAGAGCAGAGCTCCTGGCTCCTCCAGGCCGTGTTCTCCAGGGCCTTCAGGAGGCTGAACCCATGCTCCCCTTTTACCCCCCCAGCAGCTAGGCAGGACAGGACTTTGGTTATCTCTGGTTCCATATGGCCATGAATAGGAAGTTGAGTATTTCTAGTCAAGCCAAAAGAGAGGACCATCCTTTCTTTCAGCTGGCTTCCCACGGTGACAACAGGAAGGTTCCTAACAGAAGAACCAGGGCTAGCCTTGTCCTGGAACACTGTGGCAGGACTGACCCCTGAGGTCTCCCAGCCCAGTGACCGTGAAAGATGGCTGAACATCAGAAGCTACCTGTGAAGGGTGTGCAAAAGGAAGATTGTTGGGTCTCAGGTCTCAGGCCACATGAATCAGACTCTCCAGAAGTAGGGCCTCCAAAGCTGCTTACTTACATTCTAACAAGATACCTCAAGTGATTCTTACTGAAATGAGACAGTCACCAGTTCACTAAACTGGATGCTGTAATGCACTGAACTGACCCACATCCTACATTTCACAGTAAATTTTAATGACAAAGATAATAATTAACAGTTACATTGTAGGTGCCAGGTACTGTTCTGGTACCTTACATAAATGAACTCTTCAGCCCACATCAACAGTGCTAGCGGTAGGGACTTCTATTATTGTTCCATATGCAGAGGAGGAAAATTGAAGGTAAGGAAAAGTTTCATCAAGGTTATTTTTTCATGTGTACTTTGGGTATATTAAGATCTTCTTTTCTGGCCAGTTTTATGCCTGGTAGCCAGAGGATGATTTCTAGACCCACATTTGCCTTTTGGTTGTGTTGGTTTCAAATGCCAGTACTATGTATCTCTAGAAATACTATAGATAGCCTCTATCCATCAGAAAATGATGATAGGCTTGAACGAAGGCATGAAAGATACAGGTTTTATTAACTATATCTAGAAATATAACTATAACTATATATATATCCAGAAATGCCTTAGATTGGATCAATAAAGGAGGTTTGTTTTCTTTTCTTTCTCATGAAACTTTGGATTTCTTCACGAGATCTGTAAGAACTGGTCGTACCCATTTGTCATACTGAAGGCATTACTATGAAGGGTGCATACAGGAAAAACTGTGGATATAGCTGAAGAGTCCAGAGGTGTGTGTGTGTGTGTGGGGGGGTGTGTGGTGACTCAAGAGATCTGGGACAGTAGTGGCAAGGGAGCCAGAGCGGATGCCATGCTCCACTGGGACTTGTCCCGCAGGGGTCTGTGGGCCAGAGACCAAGGGGAGGAGAAACCTTTCCCCAGGCGGTCACTCCTGTGAAGGTGTCTGGGATGTCCTTATAAGTGAGGTTGCTGATTAAATGACTTCCACAGATCCCTTCAGAAGCCTCTGAGACTTGAGGGGGACTGGATCATAAGGCCTCGCGCTTAGACCCTGGCTTGCCAGCCCTGAGTTCTGTCATCAGCCCACCGTCCTGCCATACTCCTGAAGCTTGGACAGATTAAGTCACCTCACAGAGATTCCCTAGGGAAGCAGCAGCTATTAAGGTGGCTTTGGCAGATCCAATTACAGACCTGGTCCTATTGCAGCTGCATAGCTCAGGCTAACACAACTTTAATGTAAGATGTGAAAGCAACACCAAGTAGGTCCAAGACTCAGGAACTTGTGCTCTGTCTGCCACAGTGTTCCCTGGGCCCGTGTCTGGTGTGTTGGGACATCTCAATAAAACACACACTAACTGGAGGGCCCGATGGAAGAAAGCAACGCACGCGCGCGGTAGGGATGACTCACCGTAGTGCGCTGTACCCCTGGCACACACTGACACAGCACAGGACCTTTTCCTGATTCGCCTGGGTCTCCCCCAAGTACTTGCACACGATGTTACCCCCCAGGCTGAAGCCCACGACAACCAGTTGGGTCAGGGGGTACGTCTTCTTGATGTAGTTTACCATGGCTCCGAATTCCCACGTGCAGCCTGGGGGCAAAAGGGTGACATCACTCAGTCATTTCAGGGGCAATAAATACTGGAGAAAATGTATGCTAGAGAGTTAGCAAGTGGGTGCTGATATATGTCATAGGAGTACGAGTACATGTGTGTCCGTGCTGAGAGAGAGGCAGAGAGATAGAGACAGACAGACACTGCTCTTTGCCTAGACAGAAGGTCCCAGATGCTTTCAGTATTAGAGGAAACTGGGCATCAGCAGTGCCCACGAGTGGAGATACTGTGTATCAAACAGGTGCACAATGCTCCTTTAAAGATGGATCAGGAGCAGTCTGCTTAGATACTCACGGACATTGAACCATATATTCAGGGTGTACATGAGCACATATGTTCACAGATACACATAAAAGCAAGAGCACAGCCCTTTGGGACTAGCATCTTGGGCTGCACGATGGGATGCTATACCCATGTGTGCAATGATTCATGGCACCAAGAAAAGTACTAAGTGGATGTGATTTACAGAATCCTTTTGTCAGTGTTGAGGACAGAAGAGAAGACAAATTTCAGTCCAGAGGGATGGCCAGGATGCCCTATAGGCTTAGGGTACAATGCTCTTGGTGACGTAGGGACAGGGTGCCCAGGGAGCAGATCCATTCAGAAATACTCAGAGGAGTGCTCTGAACAGAGGGTGTCTGGACCAGGTTAGCCCAGGAGGAAAGATCTCAGCTGGGGAACCAAAGGCAGCTGTTGGAGCTGTGCTGTCTCAGCAGCTTCACGAAGAGGAGGAGGCCGATGGCCACACACAGGTGAGGGCATTCATTGCATCCTTCCAGGTCCAACCCCAGAGCACAGGGAGCTAACTTAGAGTAAAATCTAATGGGAAAAGTTAGGGATGTTGGTGAGAGGCACAGGCTAGCGCGGGAAGAGCACAGTTTCTGTGGAAATGCGAGTTGGGACCTGGACACCAGTTCAGCACTCCTGACATCTCCAGTAGACTGGAGCAGCTCACTCCCTAGCCAGCAAGCCCTAGGGGACACTATCTTTGCAAGCAAGCTCCCAACACCCGTGTTCCTTTTGTGGCGACGCAGCTCAAGCCAGGCCGGGACAGCTGCATGGACCAGCAGGACAGAGTGTGAGAGATGGGCACCACTGGCCTCACCTCCAGAGAAGCTGATTCCATGAGCTGGGGGCCAGGCCCAGGAATCTGCATTAAACATGTTTTTGAGTAGGTAACCCATGTACATGGTACAAAATTCAAATGACATAACAGATGTGGTAAAACGTTTTCTATACTTTTTTTTATGCCAGAGATAGGATATACATTGTTTAATATCTTGCCTCCCCCCTCTAAAATATGTCTTGGAAACCATTATGTATCAGTACACATAAAATTGCCTTATTGTATGTATGTATGTATGTTTTTGAGATAGTGTCTCACTATGGAGTCCAAGCTGGCCTGGAACTCTTGGTGATCCTCCTGCCTCGGCCTTCTGAGTACTGAGAATACAGGTGTGTGCCACCATACCCAGCTATTATTTGTTTTAAGGATGCATAACATACCCACAGAAAAATGTGCTATCAGTGAATTTTTACCTATTTACAACAGGTTACTACTGTCCAGGTGAAGATGCAGAATATCCTGAACACCTTTGGAGGCCCTTCATGCTTCTTCCCAGACAGTAACCCCTCTACTTAGATTCCTGATCACAATCTGAAAGCCCCGAGAGCTCCTGGGACTTGGAAGGTGGCAAAGGATGCATAAGCCTAAGAAAACCAGGGGCCAGAAGGTGCTCCCTCCTCCCAACACGGTAAGACCAGGCACCACCTGCTCTCTCTGCTGGGAGATCCTAGGGGATCAGCTCTCCCACCCGCTCCTCCTGGGTCTAGCAGAGGCCGGGTAGTGTGCAGACCTTCATGAAAGATGAGGAACTGAGTGGGTGCTGACCTCCCAAGAGTCTTGGGGCCGGGCTGCTGAAGGAACAAAAAGCTGGTCCAAAGGGAACCCTGACCTCTTAACCGTGGAACTGAAAGGCCAGACTTTCATCTCTACTTAGGTCAGATTCATCCCAGTTCCTCTTTCTAAAAAGGTAGCCATGGGAGGAATAAGTAGCTCCAGATAATGCCGGGTTTCAGGTGTGAGCTGTGATGCAGAAGAAAGGGGCTCCAAAAGTACTCAGTGGGTATCACACACGCTCAGTCCCACCATAAATGAAAAGTCAGAAATGCCGTTAGAGAGTCTGCCCACCTCCCTCGGATCATATGGACTCCTAAATACGGGGTCTTCGAGGAGCAGCCCAGCCTCATGGCTCAGTGAAGGTTCCCTGGGCCCCTGAGTAGTCCCCATGCTTCCAACCTCCCTCTGATGACAAGCAACCCCCAGGTGTGGGGACGATCTACACAGAAACAGGAGGGGCCCGGGAATGGGTACTTTCAACAAATACCCCAGATGACTTTTCATCCTGAGAGAACCCTGGAAAATACTGTTACCTTGGGCAAATTACCACACTCTCTGGATCCCTTTCCTCATCTGTCAAATGGAGGTAGTAATAACAGTAAATATCTCAGAGTTGTTTGGAGAACTGAGGAAGGTGAGTACATAAATGACTTAGATCAGAGTCCAGAACATAGGAAGTGTCTCTTTTTTCCTTTAAAAATATAATTGATGCAAACCTGTACTCACAGCAGCATTATTCACAACGGCTCAAAAGTGTAAGCAACTCATGTCTATTCATAGGTGAGTGGATAAACAAAACATGGGCAGAGTCATACAAATGAATAGTACTTAGCTTTAGGAAGGAGGGAAATTCTGACACACGCTACAGCGTGGCTGAGCCTTGGGGACATTATGATAAGTAAAACATACCAGTTATAAAAAGATAAAGACTGTATAATTCTACCTGTGTATGTCAAATTCGGAAATAGAAAGTAAAATAGTGGTTGCCAGGGGCTGAGGGAAGAGGGAAATTAAGTTGTTGTGTAGTGGGTACAGAGTTTCAGTTCTGTAAGATGAAGCATTCTGGAGATTGGCTAAACAGCAGTGTCAGTGTACTTAATACTACTGAGCTGTACACTCCTAAATGCTTAAGGTGGAAAATCTTATGTTATATGTACTTTAATATGATTTAAAACATCACTTAGGGCCGGGGATATAGCTCAGCGGCACAGCACCTGCCTGGCAAGCGCAACGTCATGAGTTCAATTCCTGGTACCAAAAAAAAAAAACCCCCAAAACAACAAAAAAATTACTTAAATAAGGACTTGTAGCTTAATACTTGAAAATGCCAATCTAGATTTCTAGATTTTTCTCCACAGAGATGTTCTTTGACCTGGGGATCTTATACAGCAATAACCACTCACACCTGACCTTCCCCAGACTGTGGAAATCAGAATGGGACCAGAGTGTGGGTTCTTCTAGGGGATCCCCAGGTGATTGTAGTCCGAAGTCAGGCTGAGAACCTCTGATCTAAGGAACAAGGCCTTACCAGCTTAGACCAGCATGAAAACGCGTTTTCTGAGGCCCTGTCTCTTCCCTCTCAGGACCATCTCTAGACTCCCTGTGCTTTCTACTTGCAGTAAGTAGCTTCCACAGATGGGGGCGCTGCTCAGCCTTTTGGAAGCATCGGAAGCAGAGCTCCGAGCCTAGTGGCGCCTTTCTGAATATTTCCTCAGAGCAAGGTTTCTGGAAGAGGCCCAGTCTCTGGGCCACATAACCGGGCATCTCCTCCAGATCCATCAAACACCAAACAAAACAAACTTTAGATCTCTACAACTGCTTTCTGCTAGTATTTCTTGAAAAGAGTGAATCAGAAAAGCCACATGAAGTGAAATAATCTCACTGTAAAAATGATGCTGTGGCACAGTGGCCCTCCAAATGTGGTCCCTGGAACAGTTCTCATCCGTGTCAGGTTTTCCTGACAACTGTTCAAAATGCACATCCTTGGTCCCACTGCAGAATCACCCAGTCAGGAGCTCTGGAGGTGGAGACCACAGAGAGGGCTTGCAGGGCCCCAGAGCCTTTGATTCAGTGGGTCTGGGTGGGCTCAGAATTCGTATTTCTAACATGTCCTCAGGCGATGTCAATACTGTTGGTCCAAGGATCATACTTTGTGAACCACTATCCTAGATGATAGGAAAGGTATGTGAAATCCTCAATTTTCTGCTTTTTTTTTTTAAAGGGAAATTTAAAAAATGCTCATGGTATTCATAGATAAGAAAATTCAGATGGGTGCTGTAGGACATGCCTGTACTCCCAAGGGAGGCTGAGGCAGGAGGGCTGCCAAGTTGGAAGCCAGAGTGGTAAGACCCTGTCTCAAAAAGATACAAATAAATGCCTAGGGATATAGTGCTGTCTAGCCCACATAAGGTGCTTGGTTCAGTCCCCAGCATAGCAATGAAAGACAAAAAGGAAAGGAAGGAAGGGAGGAAAGAAAAAAAATTGGAATGACAGCTAGAAATCAATTTTCACTGTCCACATTAGAAAGGACCAACAACTTGGCCGATATCAAGGGTGGGAGAGGTTGGGGTAATGGGCCCTCGTGTCTCTTCACTGCTGAGTGTGTATACTGATATAGGCCTTAGAGGGCAATATAACAACATACACTGATTTAAAAAAAAAAATCCTTTGGTCCAGCAATTCTATTTTGGGTGACTTTATACTGTGATATATCTGTACATGTGTACAAAGATGTATGCACAAGAATGTTCCTACAGTGCAGTTAGGAAACCACCCACATTTCTATTTAACTGGCGAGGAGGCACTGCAGTCCTATCTGCTGCCATGGAACAACGGAGCCCGCTCACTGAGGGGCAAAGCCAAGGGATGAGAGCCGCAGGGACAGCACCGTCTCATGTGTGCTTGGATGTGAAAGGGATTCTATGTGTGCACACACCTGACTGAGGATTTGCCAAAAAACTGTGGCAGATGTTGACTTTCTGAGGACAGGTCTAGCGGGGAAAGAGACTTTGTTTCATTCACTGTACCCTGGGGCGGTTTGAATGTTTTTCATTAAAAACCTTCAATTTGCCAAGGAATA